ATCTATTAGTCAATAGTAGCAGTTGAGGTTTCACTTAACTAGGAAAGGTCTGAGTGTCCCTGAGACTGTAGAGCCTGTTTACTTGTTTTATCTTGGTCTCTCTACTCAGTCACTTAAATACCTCTAAGAATAGTAGCTGCTTCCCACTTCCACCATCCCTACCCTGTGAGATTGGCTTATTGTGAAATATACATTATCAAATCTTCTGTATTGGCCTACCCCTTATTCTTGCTACTAATGGTGACAGGTTAATGTGAGCTTTCCAGAAGAGATACCCATTTATTTTCCTTTCTCTATTTCAGTTTACTACAAGACTTGTTTACTAGAAGATCTTGTTCATGTCCTTTTCTATTCCTTTAGGAGCATAGTGAGAAGAAGCAGCGGGTCAGGTTCCAGCTTGAGATTTCTAGCAATCCTGAAGAGCAACGCAGCAGCATTTTGCATTTGCAGGAGGCTGTGCGGCAGCATGTAGCCCAGATACGGCAGCTGGAAAAGCAGATGTATTCTATCATGAAGGTAGTCAACTGGGCAGTCTGAAGACAGGGAGGTCTCCTAGGATGAGGGAGATCTCCTCTCAGTTTCTCCTGTTCTGGCTCCCTAGTCTTTGCAGGATGACAGCAAGAATGAGAACCTTCTTGACCTGAACCAAAAGCTTCAGTTGCAGCTAAACCAGGAGAAGGCTAATCTACAGCTGGAAAGTGAAGAGCTTAATATCCTCATCAGGTGAAACAGCGTTCTTTTCTTCCCTTTTCCAGTTCCCCATCTGGAGTAAATTTCTCTTCTTTGCCCATGTTCTGATAGTCTTTAGGTCTAGTGTATATTATCAAAGGCTGATGTAGTAGATTTAGGTACCTCTTCCTAAATGAACCTTACTGCACTTTGCCAAGTTAGGTTGAGAACAACAGAGCCCTTCTTTAGAATCATCAGTAGAGTACTTGCTGGGAAGGGAGGAAAATGGGTAGTTGGGAAAGATCACTTTTGTAGGCTTAGTACCCTGCAGCTGAACTGAAAATAAAATACCTTGAATTAATTAGTAAGGAACACAAGTATAGATCTAATCATAGAGGTAACTAGTGCAAAGAGATTACTTTATCTAAAGAAGCTGTAGAACTGAAAAAGGGATTTGTATTCCTATGGCAGGGTGTGAGAAGCAATGAATCCAGTGAAAAAAATGTAGAGAATTCCAGAATAGGTCCATCTCTGGGTTTACCTCATGTATTGTTCTAGAGAATTCCATCCCACCCCCCACCCAAATGCTGTTGCCCTTGTTGGCTTTGACCCTCCTGTCCATGTATAGGTGTTTTAAGGATTTCCAGTTGCAGCAGGCCAACAAGATGGAGCTGCGAAAGCAGCAGGAAGATGTGAGTGTGGTCCGTCGCACTGAGTTCTACTTTGCTCAGGCACGATGGCGCCTGACAGAGGAAGATGGACAGCTTGGAATTGCTGAACTGGAGCTGCAACGGTTTCTCTATAGCAAGGTATTGGGTATATATAGTCACACAAAGGCAGCTGTATTGAAAGACACTTACCTATCTCAGGAGTTTAACTAAAAAGAGAAACAAAAAGGGGCTAGTTATTATATATCTATTAATGATGGTATTGAAGGTTATTAATGAAACATGAGCAGAGTCCCCCTTAGGTACATGTTTGTAATACTAAATAATGCAGATATAGATTAGGGTGATCAAATGCTTCCTTCAGTGAATAAGATTATCCCTAGAAACGTGTCCCAGAGGGAAGTATTCTTCTAAGTCCTGCTTGAAATGGAACCAGTAATTCTATACTGGCTTTCAGCTTTCCTGCAGTTACCCATAGCATGGAGAAGAGGACATTCTTCATTCCTCCTCTGCCCTGCCCTTTTCCAGGATGTTTGGGAATGAATGAGACCATTTTTGAATTTCATAGTGACTGGGAAATACTGCTGGCATTTAGTGCCCTGGCCGGTAGCCCCCATGAGAAACATAGGATTAGAGGGTACATTGATTATATGAGGTTGAAAGAGATATCAAAAGTTAGGATTAGGCATATGGAAAACCTGAAAACACAGGATGTATAGCAATTCTCTAGCAAGCTCCTGAGAAAGGCTTATTACAGTGGATTGGGGGTTGGGGGGGGGATCTATCTTTATAGGTGAATAAGTCTGATGACACAGCAGAACATCTTCTGGAGTTGGGCTGGTTCACTATGAACAACCTCCTCCCCAATGCTGTCTACAAGGCAAGTCTTAGTTCTCCATTCCTAGCCCATTCACGTACTTTCTAGCACAGGCCATTTGTAACGGCCCTTCCACATAAACCCACTATGGGAAACCCACTATGTGGTGATCTGAGATGGTGAAAGCTTGCATGTCTCAGCAAGACCATTACTTCTACTCTTCTTCTGCAGAGGATTTGTGGGTTGATTTATCACTCTATCCTACAGGTAGTCCTGAGGCCCCAGAGTTCCTGCCAGTCTGGGCGACAGCTAGCCCTCCGCCTATTCAGCAAAGTCCGGCCCCCCGTTGGGGGTATATCTGTTAAGGAGCACTTTGAGGTTAGTAAACAATCCTTTGGAGATCCACGAACAAAGGGCAGTCAAAAGCTATCTGCATTGTTTTGTGCTGTTAGGGGTAGGTAAACTGAGGGATGATGTCTGAACTTAATTGCTTCTTCAGCCTTTTTCCTCTTCAGGTAAATGTGGTGCCTCTCACCATCCAGCTGACACACCAGTTCTTCCATAGAATAATGGGCTTTTTCTTTCCTGGTCGAAGTGTGGAAGATGATGAGGTTGGTGATGAGGAAGATAAGTCCAAACTGGTGACTACTGGTGAGAACTTCTGTGGTGGAGCTCCAGAAGACTGGGGTAGCATAGCAGCCTCAGATAGCTGAAGCTTCAGAAAGAAGACAACAGCTGGTGTGCTTGCTTTTTCATAGGAATACCGGTGGTGAAGCCTCGGCAGCTGATTGCAACAGATGATGCAGCAGCACTGGGCCCTGGGAAGGGAGTGGCACAGGGCTTGAATCGGAGTTCTGGAGTCAGAAGGTCATTTCGCAAAGCCCCTGAGGTACTGGACATGCCCCTGATGATAGAAAAATGGAAGAGTCCCACGATACTCTGTTAAGCCTGGCTAGGGATTTCTTCTGTTACCTTTGAGTTTATTCCAGGGGTGAAAGGAGATGGAGATGTTTAGGGTCCTAAGTTTCTTCTAATGGTTTCAGGCGTTCACATTCCTTTCCTGCCTTTCCTAGCACCCTGTAGATGATATTGACAAGATGAAAGAGCGAGCTGCCATGAACAACTCCTTCATCTACATAAAGATTCCACAGGTTCCACTGTGCGTCAGCTACAAGGTCTGCTCTCCAGCACTTTCTAGAACAGGATGGGAAGGGAATCAAATAAGATCATCATAGATTAAAGATAGGGAGTTAGGCCAGTTTATGAAGTTGGCCCATGGGTGATAAATTTGTTTCCTCTGCTCCCATTATCAGACTGCAGTAAGGGGAAATCAGTATCTGTAGTTGGCCGCTATAGGAGGTACTAGACTTGGACTAAAGTACTGGCTTGGACTAAAAGTGGCAGCTGATATATTTTTTCCCTTCTTCTTTCTCTTCTCTCCCCATCCTTCTCTTGCAGGGTGAGAAGAACAGTGTGGACTGGGGTGACCTTAACCTGGTGCTGCCCTGTCTGGAGTACCACAACAACACATGGACATGGCTAGACTTTGCCATGGCTGTCAAGAGGGACAGCCGCAAAGCCCTGGTTGCCCAGGTATCCTGGCAGAGTTCATGGCTGTTTGGATAGCAGGGTCTGGCAAGCAGATCCTCTGCTCAGGAGCATTTCATTGTAGGATGTATTAACAAGCAGTCTTGGGATGGGGCAGGTGAATAAGTGAGCAGCTTTTATTCCTGCTCTCTCCATGACTTTGCTCAGATGATTATATTGAGTATTTATGTTTCATATGTTAACTACTGTTGATTTCTAGGAAACTGAGGGCTGACACAACCTTAGGCTAAGAATAGGTTCTAATTAAACTATAAGCTTCTTGAAAGCAGAGATCATTTTAGGATTTGAATGGCTCCATTGTGCCTTTGTGTACATTTAAATCTTTATTGATTCACTGTGATTTATTTTGCTTGTCCCACTAATATTTACCTTTCCTTTTACTCCTCTCTAACCTATCAGGTAATCAAAGAGAAGCTAAGGCTGAAGCCTGCAACAGGGTCAGAGGTCCGGGGAAAGCTAGAAACTAAATCAGACCTCAACATGCAACAGCAAGAAGAGGAGAAAGCCCGGCTCCTCATCGGTTTAAGTGTGGGCAACAAGAACCCTGGCAAGAAGTCCATTTTTGGCAGGCGCAAGTGATCTGGCAATCCAAGAGTGGCTGCAGTACAGAATCTGACTCCGGCTCAGGCCACAGGGACTTGTGGGGAGGGAGGCACTTCCCTTTATCCATCAGGATTTGTTGGGGTTAGGAGCCCACAGGTTATTGCAGAGAGAGGCACTACACTTTAGCAGCTGGCCTGTTCTCTGTAGAGCATGGTGGATAATGATGCTGAGTTCTACCTCACACTGATCAGCAGGCCCAGGGCCAGAGAGGCATCAAGATCCAGGGAATGGTCCCAGGACTAGGATCTGGTTTCCTGGGGGTCGGCTGAGAGGGTGGAGGACAGTTCTGATCAAGTGTGATAAATTTTTATAAATAGACATATATAAATATATATATTTCTCTAAGTATAACTGCACTCCTCCTGTACCAGAAAGTTGGGGGGGGGGGGCAGGACTGATCTGTCCCTCATTCCACTGCCTTGTATGAAAGAGGTATTAGTGTTCTGGGAGAATCAGCCCCTCCCCCAATCTGTGCCAAGCTCACTTGGGGAGATGGCAGTAGGAGCCAGGGCTGGCCATGGGGTATGCCCTGGAAAATGGTGAGAAAATGATTTAAAGAGAAAAAATATATTTTAAATTTGATGCTGTTTTTTTTTTTTAATTGTGTTGATTGCATGGGTTTAACTTGTCTGTATCCTTCCCTCCTCATCAACCAAGACACATCCTCTAGCTTCCACTCTAATGTGGGTGGCCTCTTCCCTCCTGCTTAAAAGTGTATCACAGATATTTCCCAGCTCTGTTGTGACACTGGCCCTATGCTGATAGGTCTCTGCACATTTTAGTTCTGGTTGTAAACGTATTCTTAACCAGGATGATAGGACTGGGGGATAAGGGTGAGATTTGGCTGCATCACTTGTATCTTTAGCCATGAACAGCAAGTAAAAGGTGGGGCTCATTTGTAATGCAGCATCACGGGGAGGAGTTGCTTATATAACTGGACAGCAGATTTAGTGAAAGGAGAGAAGAGGCAGAGGCTGGGAATGGGAACAGTGAACTGTCGGCAGGGGCAACATGCCCGGGTGGTTGTTTCTCATAAGGTAGGCTGTGGGACTCTGGCAGCCTGTTTAGGGGACATGAAGGAGACCCGAGCTTGAGGCCTGGGAAGTGACTGGTTAGTAATGCCCACTGGGGGTGGGGAGGCTATACTGTGAAAGTATCCCAGCTCCATACTGGGAGGTGCAGGATGAATCTTTGGTGCCTCATAGGGGAAATGTCTAAATACTGCTTTCCTAGAGGACTTGAATTATATTCAGGAAATCTAGCCCATCCTTGGCCCAGAGCAAGAGCAGTGGTGGCAATTTTGCCTGGTCTCAAAAATATATCTCTAGGGTTGGGATTAGAGGGAGTGCCTGCTGAGATGGGCAAAACCTGTACTGCCTCAGGGGCAGGAGGTCTAGAGTGGCCCCCTTGGTTCTCAGCAGGGTGGCAATATCCAGGGCCCCTGGGTCCGAGGCTGGAAGAGCCTCTGGTCAGGTGTGGGGACCACCAGGTCAGGCCTGGAAGAACTGTGGGGACTACGGGGGCATCAGTGCCAGCATCAGGAGCCCCTGGAGCCAGCTCCACTGCTGGTAGAGAAGCCTCTGTCTGAGTGGCCAGTGCCTCAGTTCATCAACCTCTTTCTGCCGGAGTTTCCCATTAGGCCCCTTAGGGGGCATCAACAGCTGAAGGTAGGTCAATGGAATCACTGGAAGGGGTCTCAATCTTGGAGAGAAATCTAGAAATGACCAGAATCTCAATTGCCCTGTTCTCCATTTTTCTGAACAGGTTTTAGGCCTTGTGGCTAAAGGTTCCTTTGGAACGGTCTTCAAGGTGCTAGACTGTGGCCGGAAAGCAGTATTTGCAGTGAAGGTAGGGACCTAGGTACTCTTCCACATTATTCTCTAGCCCCTGCCTCCAATTTTGGTTCCAGAAAGATTGAGAGGAATAAACAATTCAATAGCACTATTCCCCTCTAGGAGTCATCATTCCTGTTTTTATAGGTGGTGCCCAAGGTCAAGGTCCTCCAGAAGGACATCCTGAGGCAGTGCAAAGAGGAGGTTAGCATCCAGGTACGCACAGAGCCCTGGAAAGGATTCTAGGAAGAACTAAACTACAGGTGGAGGAAACACCTTTCTCCACTATCCTGCTTTTCCTGGTTCTGCCCCTCCATCTGCTTCAACCAAGTAGATCCTGGGGAAAGTAGCTATCAGCAGAGTTAGTCTACATCCTTTTTTTGTTTGTGGTTGGGAACTTGTTCCAACTCATTTTATGAAGCCTGCATAATCCTTTTTTTTAATCCTCACCCGAGGATATTTTTCCATTGATTTTCAGATAAAGAGGGAGGGAGGGAGTGTGGGAGGGAGGGGGGAAGAGAGAGAGAGAGAGAGAGAGAGAGAAACATCAAAACATCAATGTGAGAGAGACATCAATTGATTGCCTCCCACATGACCCTGACCAGGGCTGGGGATCGAATTGCAACACAGGTACATGCCCTTGACTAGAATCGAACCCTCAGCTCTTTGGTCTGTGGGCTGACACTCCAACCACTGAACCAAACTGGCCAGAGTGAGGCCAGCATAATCTTGACACCAAAGCCTGGTATGGACACGATCAGAGAAGGAAAACTGTAAGCTGATCTCACTTATGAACGTAGGTACAAAAATCATAAATAAAATACTGAACTGTATGCAACAATACATAGAATGAAAATACATCACAATCAAGTTGTATTTGTTCTAGGAATTTGAGATTGGGTTAACACTTTAGAAAAATCAATGCAGGAACTAATGCTTCCAGTCAAGATGGAGCAGAGGGACTGAATTTACTCTCAACCATGAAACAACCACAAACAACAACAAAAAAGACCATTTAATAGAAAATGAACAAAGGAACTCACAGGTTCTTCACAAAAGAAGATATCCAAGTGACCTGTATAAACATATACATATGTACATACATATACACACACACGAAAAGGTGCTCAACATCCTTAGTCACCAAGGGAAGTGCAAGTTCAAACCAGAATAAGATACCCCTACATTCCTACCAGAATGACTAAAATAAAGGGAGGGGGAGAGAAGGAAAAGAATTATGTGATATTTTTATAATATGTAGGAAAATATCTTTCAGGATTTCCATCAAGGTTGTTAACTATAATTCTTCTAGTGGAATTATCAGTGTTTTTTTTTCTTGTTTTGCTCATCTAAATTTTCTAATTTGTTTTGAAAAAACACATATAGCTCCTATAATAAAAATTCTTTTTCATTTTTAAAAAATGCAAACAGAGCCCTGTCCGATTTGGCTTAGCGGTTAGAGCGTTGGCCTGTGGTCCAGAGAGACCTGGGTTTGGATCCCGCTAAGGGCATGTACCTTGGTTGCAGTTTGTCCCTGGCCCTGGTTGGGTTTTGCGGGTGGCAGCCACTCGATGTGTCCCTTTCACGTCGATGTCCCCCCCCCCCCCAACTCTATCTGAACAAAAAATGGAAAGGTATCCTCGGATGAGGATTAAAAAAAAAAAAAAGCAAACAGAAAAGCATGACATTCTTGTGATGTAACTATGTTGAGTATAATTTTAATTTTAAGCTTAAAATATGAATTACTGATTAATTAACAATTTTGAGTCAAATATATCTTGCAAAAAATTTTATGGTTTTCTATTATGATACCATGATTTGAAATGTTAAAAAAAAACCTACATGATTACATGCAAACATAAAATTGATCTGTTAGCACATACAGAATTGGAATGTCAAATCATTCAACACTGAGTCATTAGTATGTACGTTCTTAAAAACATCTGCCGCTATGGCCTGGTGATAAAACATATAAATAAGTCTATTAGGCAAAAACAGCTAAATGAACTTTAAAAAGCATGAAGATTATGATGAGTTTCAAGCATTAACTATAAGAACGTTTGTCAAACTCCAAATGCTAGGTGACAATTTAGCAATCAGGGATTGCATTTATGTAAGCAGACAGCTTAACTGAACTTTTACCTTTAAGTTTTAGGTGATGCCCTGTCCGGTTTGGCTCAGCAGTTGGAGAGCCGGCCTGTGGACCAGAGAGTTCTGGGTTCGGTCCCCGCTAGGGGCATGTACCAAAACAAACAAACAAACAAACAAAAAGTTTTAGGTGACATTCAGCTTTTACTACAAATGGGAAGTATTCCCCCCATTACAGAGGCATTGATACACTGCTCTCTGTACCTGGCATATCCTAGGGGAGTTCAGCTGCCATCTTCTCTGCCATGTTGCTGCTATCATGGGTTTCTGAGAGACACCTCATAGGACTCCTCCTTTTAGAGGGACTAGTCTCTTCTGAAGCATTTGTTGTGTTGTCGCCAAGATTTGCTGACGGTTACCTTTATCCCCAACTTTTGTTGGCTGTACAGTAAAAATTTTCTACTTCCCACCCTCCTTTTTTCCTCCTCCCTCCCCGTCTTCCTCCTTGTGCTGGGGGAGGGCACAGCAACAGCAGTTTCTTCCAGCTACTGCTGCCCCTCCTGGGCAAGCTCAGCCTCATCTTGGGCGCCATCCCAGCCTGTGGCGTCAAGGAAATCTCCAGCATGTCCCAGTGTGTTCTTTAGTATTATGCTGGTTCCCCAGATTACCAGGTAAACAGTCCCAGTTTAGTTAACCTAAACAGAGGTGGGGCAGCAAATCCCTTTCTGCACAAGTAGGTATATTCTGACTTCTTGGCTGCCCTGATCCTGTTATCCTGTTCTTCCTTAACTTCCTGTTTCTTTTGTCCTTAGAGACAGATCGACCATCCTTTTGTACATGGTTTGGGAGACAGCTGGCAGGGAAAACGACACCTCTTCATTAGTGAGTGACTGGTCTCTCTCTTCATTCCCAAGGTCCTTCTACCATACTCCCCATCTGAGATTGGACTCCTTCCTTTGGCTTGTTCTGCCTTTGCTCTGTTCCCTTTTTCATAGCACTTCTCTCTCCCAAAGACGGCATGTGGCATCAGTTTGGGCAGGAGGCCTATAATGCCTTGAGCCCAGGCACAGTATCCCCCAAATATTGCCTAGACTTCTGGTGCTTTGCAGTGTGCAGCTACTGTAGCACAGACCTGTACTCCCTGTGGTCCACTGTTGGCTGCTTTGCTGAGGCTTCCATCCGTCTCTTTGCTGCTGAGCTGGTCCTGGTGCTGTGTAAGTGAAACAAGAGTGGTAATGGAAATAAGGGCAGAATTAATGGGGGGAGGGGCCAAAAAATTGATATTAATTATGAAGGTCAAAGAACAGGGATAGGGATGGAGTGGGGCTACTAGGGAAATTGGAAAGGACAGGAGAGCTTCAGCACACCCCATGCTTGCTGTCATCCACAGGCTATCTCCATGACTTGGGCATCATCCATCGAGATGTGAAGGTAGAGCTAAGTGCTTTTTTTTCTTTGTTTGAGGAGAGGCCTTAGTAAGAAGTTACACAGGTTCAAGAAGGCATGGGGGCCCTAGCTGGTTTTGCTCAGCGGCTAGAGCGTCGGCCTGCGGTCCAGAGAGACCCGGGTTCGGTTCCCCCTGAGGGTGCATGCCTGGCTGGTCGTGCAGGTGGCAGCCACTCGATGTGTCCCTTTCACGTCGATGTTTCTCTCTCTCTCTCTCTCTCTTCCTCTCCCTCCCTCCCACTCTATCTGAACAAAAAATAGAAAAATGTCCTTGGGTAAGGATAAAAAAAAAAAGGCATAGGGGAGCTAAGAACAGCTGACCTTGGGACCCTCATGGCTGCTAAGAATTTGGGCAAGGACCCTCCAAGTATAGACCTGAACGTTGAGTTGGGCATCTTCTTCAGCAGGGGTGTATACATGATGAAAGAGTGTTGAAAGGAAGAGGATGGCCCTGGCCGGTTTGGCTCAGCGGTTAGAGCATCGGCCTGCAGTCCAGAGAGACCTGGGTTCGGTTCCCGCTAAGGGCACATACCTCAGTTGTAGTTTGTCCCCAACCCTGATTGGGTCATGTGGGTGGCAACCACTCGATGTGTCCCTTTCACATCGATGTTTCTCTGTCTCTCTCCCTCCCTCCCATTCTATCTGAACAAAATATGGGAAAATGTCCTCGGGTGAAGATAAAAAAAAAAGGAAGAGGATGAATAATAACTTCTCACCTGTGATTTTTTTCAGATGGAGAATATCCTTCTGGATAAACGAGGTAAATTCTTCTTTTCCCGGAATGAGAGGTACTTCGGTTTGGGAATGAGCCATGGCTGATGAGAGATGGAACAAAGTAGTACTGTTGCATGATCATTTTTGTTGTTGTTGTTAATCCTCACCTGAGGATATTTTTTCCATTGATTTTTAGAGAGACTAGTGTGGGGGGCGGGGGGAGAGAAACATGTATGTGAAAGAGACACATCAATTGGTTGCCTCCCGCATGACCCCAGTGGGGGCCAGGGGTCAAGCCTGCAACTGAGGTATATGCCCTTGACTGGGAATCAAACCCATCACCCTGTGGTGTGTGGGCCGATGTTCTAACCACTGAGCCACACCGGACAGGGCTGTGTTATCTTTTATAGGTCACCTGAAACTGACAGACTTTGGTCTGTCCCGTTACCTGCCCCAGGGAGCTCGAGCCTATACTATTTGTGGAACTCTTCAATACATGGGTAAGAAAAAGGCTTAAAGCTGGTGGGTAAGCACTGGGCAGTAAGATAGCCAACAGATGTCAATGACAAGTATTTTTCAAATCTGTAGCCCCAGAGGTTCTGAGTGGAGGGCCTTACAACCATGCTGCTGATTGGTGGTCCCTGGGTGTCTTGCTTTTTTCTCTGGCAACTGGAAAGGTGAGAAAATGGTAGTGATGCTGTACAGAAAAGAGAGTTTTGCACTAATGGAAAGACCTTAGGAAACTTTGCCTTCTTCCTACTAAGAAATGACACCCCCTATCCCTCAACTCAGTTTCCTATGGCTGCAGAGAGAGATCATGTGGCCACGTTGGCAAGTGTGACCCACTATGACTCTGAGATCCCAGCTTCTCTTACCCAGGGGCTCTCACTTCTGCTCCATGAGGTAAGGGTGCGCATTACTTTCCTGTCTGACTACCAAATAAACCATTCACTCTCTCCTTTCCCTGTCATTGAAGTAGTATTTCCCCATTCCTCTGATTAATTTTTGGGGGGGGGGGTACTCCAACTTGATCAAGTATTATGTCACTACTTGCCCTCTAACCAGCATTTCAAATTTCATTCCTGAGTTCCTGGTCCTCCAAATATCCTCTCCATCCATAACAGACAGGTTACTTCTGAGAAAGTGGGCCTGCTTTCTTACCAATACAACTCCTTTATTCCTACATTTGCCCACAAATTAACCTGTCTCTCTCGTTTACAAATCCTTTCCTCTTTAGGGTTCTTTTTTTTGCCCTCCACAGCTCCATGAACTTCTTTTTCCTTTTCCGCCTTTTCCGTTAACAGCCCCTTTCCTAACCCTGTCCTTATTTCTTGTTGATTTGTTTCCCTTCAGCTCTTATGCCAGAATCCCCTCCAGCGTCTACATCATTTGCATCACTTCCAGGTCCACCCTTTCTTTCGGGGTGTGGCCTTTGACCCAGAGCTCTTACAGAAGCAACCAGTGAACTTTGTCTTGGAGACACAAGCTACTCAGCCTAGTCCATCAGAGTCCATGCTGTTCAGTGACTTTGACTGTAACCTGGAGTCCTACCTGGTCTACCGCAGCCTTGCTTGAGCCCCCTTTGCTATAGATTGGGGCCCATCTTGGAGCCTGAAGATCTCCTCCACTGCTAACTCAGTATGACCCCTTGATGATCCAGTTTGTTTTCACTTTGCAGCCTCTTATCATTCTGTTCTTCTAGGCATTGTACCAGAGTTTAAATCTTGGGCATTCTGCTACTCACAGCCACAACTAGCCCTCATCCTATTATACAACCCACCTCTCAATTCAACATCTGGATCAGTGTGTTGACTTTTTCTCTGCTTTCATTTCTCCAGTGCTCATACCCTGAAGCTTTTAACCAGAGGCTTATTTCACTCCCCACTCCTTGTTTCTGCATCATGTTTCCTTTCTTGAGCAGTAATAACATTTCATGAGTTCCCAAGGTGCTATTTGTGTGTTCAACAGGTTTGTCAGAAGCAGTATGATATTTTTCAGGTCTCAGAAAATGGCATTTCAACCCTTAGATATGCACCTAAAGCATATGATTCTGGGGGCTGAAAGCCATCTGTAATAAATTTAATTTAAAAAATTTAAAAAGTTAATGAATCACAACAGCCTAATGTGAGGAAGAGAATAAACAGAACTGAAACATGGGTGGATTAAATATCTTTAGGGGGTAATTGAAATAGTTATTCAAATTTTTTCCAAAACAAAACCTTTGAAAGATATAAGGATTCTTAAGCTGATCGTTGCCCTACACATCTCAGGATTCAGTTTCTAATGGGGAAACCAAGGGATTAAGAGGCATGACATCAGCCCTGGCCAGTTTGGCTCAGAGGTTAGACTGTCGGCTTACGGACCAGAGAGTCCTGGGTTCAGTTCCCACTAAGGGCATGTACCTCGGTTGCAGTTTGTTTCTGGCCCCGGTTGGGGTCATGTGGGTGGCAACCAGTGGATGTCTCTCTCACATTGATGTTTCTCTTTCTCTCTTCCTCCCTCTCTTCCTCTGCTCTATCTGAGGATAAATGCAAAAAATATCCTCGGGTGAGAATAAAAAAAATAAAAAAATAAGAGGCATGACATCAACCTCAAAATTTAAGAACCTTTTCCCTTAGTAAGGAAAATCATCTGGACCTTAAATTCATCTACATTTCTGGCCTTTATGACTTCTTTTCATTTTCTCTTTAACTTCTCAAAAACTTCATTTTTGTTATTCTTTGGTTACATCTGATCTCTTTTTCCAAAAGAGAGTCTGGAATGTATTTTGTGTACTTCTTTTTTTTTTTTTTATCCTCACCCAAGGACATCTTTCCATTTTTTGTTCAGATACAGTAGGAGGGAGAGAGAGGAAGAGAGAGAAAGAGAGAAACATCGATGTGAAAGGGACACATCGAGTGGCTGCCACTCACACAACCCAACCAGGACCGGGGACAAACTGCAACCACGGTACCTGCCCTTAGCGGGAACCGAACCCGGGTCTTCTGGACCGCAGGTCGATGCTCTAACCGCTGAGCCAAACCAGCCAGGGCTGTGTACTTTTTTTAATTCTGTTCCTGGATTAAGGCAGATTTTCCCTGTATGTAGCTAGCATTTTATTGGCCTTTTTAGAATTGCTTTTTCTGGATTGCACTTTGGCAATTCGTATCAAATCCCTATAAAACGTAATTGCTGTAGATACTGTAAAGAGTATTTATGATTACAATTCATAATGTTCTTTTAAAAAATGCATAGGAGAAATTTCTCTGCACCCAGTTGTGCTTTTCCTGAATTGCTGTTTGGTTTTACCTTAATATTTACTAAATATTTAACTGACTGTATTTTTTTCCTTCATATTGATGCTAGACTACTTAGAGCCAATTTGTGGCCCACCTCTATCCAGCAAGGGTTTAGGACTTTATTATATGTATTTTGTATGCTAGCCATGTTCTTGGTTTCCTTTATTTTCTACCTTTATTTTCCTATGTTTAAATTTTTTTGTTCTACTGTATATCTACATCTTTGTAAACCTTTTGGGAATGAGGTTGGGATATAAATAAATAAAAGAATGTATCTTTAATTGTTTTTATTATCTCATTTGTTTCTCTTTAGACACTTTTTTTTTTTTTTAGCTTTTTTACATTTAAGTTATAGTGACCAGCACTACTCTTTGGATAAAAACCCTGAATACTAGAAATAGGAGTTAATGATTTCTAAAATAGTAGTTAAGAATATTGGGATTTAGGAGACCTGGTGCCTGAATCCACCAATAACATCTGTGTCTTTACACAAATCATTTTAACCTCTCCAGATTTTAGTTTCCTATGTATAAAATGAATGGGTTATAGCTACTGTTTTTTATTTATTTTTATTTTTTAAATCCTCACCCAAGGCCATGCATAGAGAGAGAGAAACATCGATGTGAGATACGTCAATTGAACTGAAAACCTTTCGGTGTATAGGACGGCACTCAACCAACTGAGCCACTCAGACTTGGCTAACCATTGGTTCTTAATTGTGAGGGATGGGTTTCAGATTTCTGTGATGCCTTTTCTTTTTAAATATGTTTTCATTGATTTTTTTGTTGTTTTTCTTTAAAGATTTTTTTTTTTTTTTTTATCCTCACCTGAGGACATTTTCCCATTTTTTGTTCAGATAGAATGGGAGGGAGAGAGAGGAAGAGAAACATAAATGTGAAAGGGACACATTGAGTTGCCGCCTCTTGCATGACCCAACCAGGACCGGGGACAAACTGCAACCAAGGTACGTGTCCTTAGTGGGAACCGAATCCGGGTCTCTCTGGACTGCAGGCCAACGCTCTAACCACTGAACCAAACTGGCCAGGGCTATTTTTATTGATTTTTTAGAGAGGGAGGAAGGGAGAGATAGAAACATCTTGCACTGTATTGTTTCACTTGCTGTAATAAGCATCTATTATTAAAAAAATTTTTTTTTTCTTTGTTGATTTTAAAGAGAGGAAAGGAGAGGGAGAGATAGAAACATTGATGAGAGAGAACATCGACTGGCCGCCTGCTGCTTGCCCCCCACTGGGGACTTGACACACAACGTAGGCATGTGCCCTGACCGGGAATTGAACCATTGACCTCTTTGTGCATGGGTCAGTGCTCAACCACTGAGCCACACTGGTCAGACAAGCATCTATTATTTTTATAATTTAAAAAACACTGAATTTAAAAAAATTATTACACACCACCAACAAACTAATTGTGTTTATTTTACCTATTTACAGTGATATTTTCCCCCTCACATCTACTCCTACATATCCCCCCTAATTTGCTGCTGGAAGCACCATATCCCTTTGTCTATACACCTGGCATCTGACATACCAACTGCAACAAGGACTAAGCATTCCAATTCACACATTTCTATAATATATGAACTTTTACTATCAGCATTTAAAAGCTTTCCATCTTGCTCTGGCCAGTCTGGCTCAGTGGTTGGAGCGTCGGCCTGCGGTCCAGAGAGACCCAGGTTCAGTTTCCGCTAAGGGCACGTACCTTGGTTGCAATTTGTCCCCGGCCCTGGTTGGGTCGTGTGGGTGGCGGCCACTCGATGTGTCCCTTTCACATCGACATTTCTCTCTCTCTTTCTCTCTCTCCCTCCTGCCCTGAACAAAAAATGGGGGAAAAAATGTCCTTGGGTAAGGATAAAAATAAATAAATAAAATTAAAAGCTTTCCATCTTGTTTTTTCTGTTAGTTCCCACCCTTGGTTTGTTGAATCTTTTTGACCAAAAGTAAATATAGCTTGGGATTCCTTCTACTGAGTCTTGGGCAATTCCAGGCTTAAGTTTGTGCTCTTATGTTGTCTTTCTCCCAGTTTTCCTTTCAAGCAACTGTTATTTCTAGTGCCTGCAGTCTGGGACCATTATGTTTCTACAACAGTGCTGTCCAACAGAAATGTAAACCTCATAAGTAATTTTAAATTTGTTAGTAGCAAAAGAAAAAAATTTGCTAGCAGCTACACTAAAAATGTAAAAAGAAACAGGTGAAATTAATTTTAAAAAAGTTTTATTATTATTAATCCTCATCCAAGGATATTTCTCCATTGAATTTTAGAGAGATTGGAAGGGAGAGAGGGAGGGAGAGAGAGAAAGAAACATTGATTGACTGCCTCCCGCACGGGGCTGGGTATCGAACCTGCAACCCAGGTACATACCCTTGACTGGGAATTGAACCCGAGACACTTCAGTCCTTGGGCCAGCACTCTAATCACTGAGCCCAACAGCCAGAACTGAAATTAATTTTAATATATTTTATTTAACCCAATATAGCTAAAATATTTCAACTTATAATCAGTATTTTATTTATTTAAAAATTTTTTTTCTTTATTGATTTTTAGAGAGAGAAGAGGGGAGTGGGAGAGAGAGAGATAGAAACATCGATGAGAGAGAACATTGATTGGCCACCTCCTGCATGCTTACACTGGGGATTGGACCCACAACCTGGGCATGTGCCCTGACCAGGAATCGAACCGGCAACCTCTTGGTGCATGGGTCGATGCTCAACCACTTAGCCACACTGGCCAGGCATATAATCAGTATCCCAAAGATATTTTACATTATTTTTTATACAGAGTCTTCAAAATACAGTTTGTATTTTACACCTAAAACACATCTTAATTTGGGCTAGCCGCATCTGAAGTGTTCAGTAGCCACATGTGGCTAGTGGCTATGGTATTGGACAACACGGTTCTCAAGGAACACATCCCCTGTGGGCCCTGCAGTTCATAACATTATAGTTCCTCCTCTTTGGATTATTGCCTTTTCCAAATTCATTAAGACTTAAGTGTAAATAAGGTGCTGTAAGTGTTCAAAGGAACATACTTTATCACAAACTATTATCTCTGAATACTTACTTTTAGTTGTTTCTAAAACTCAATTCTACCTTCAATGGCCAGGTTTTCCGTACAGAGGGGATTTAAGTGGCAGGAAAATGTAGTTGGTAGTGTGGGCTGGAAGCTTGACTTCCACTTACTATCCGCGGGACACGGGGCAAACTTCATGGTCCATGACTCAGTTCCTTCGTCTGTAAAGGGGTGATATTTACAGCACCGACTTCACTGATTCTTATGAGGATTAAAGGAGTTAATACATGTGAAGCATCTGTAACACTGCCAAGTACACAGTAAATGTTCAACACACGTTAGCTAGTGTTCCAGTCAACCCGCCGCAGGCCCAGAGGTAAGTCCCACGAAAACACGAGAAAGTCTGAAGCGGCTAAGTCACAGCGCCGGTTGAGAACTGTCTCGGGCCATTTCGGACGCAGGACCTATGCGCCGACAGACCAAGCCCAAATACAAAACACTCCGCTCACCTTTCCCTTCCAGACTCCCTGGCCGGCTCTTTTCTGGCCTAGGCTGAGCCGCGAGGTAACTGCGGGGAAACCTGAGGAGACTTCCTAAGGCCAGGCCACGGAGACCTTTCAGACAGGGTGTGAGGGTGGCCCACTGGAAGCAGAAAGGATGGGCTGGCTCCTTACCTTTCCAGCCACCGAGGCACCCTCCTCGGGGTGAGGCTACTACCGGGCCTTAGGCCTGGCGCACCTGTGCTGAGGGGTCCGCCAAGAGAACGCGCGCGACCGTGGGGTGGGGGCGGGGCCTCCGCTGGCCCCGCCCACCGCCCGTCTGTCTCGAGCCCGGAGCGGACGCGCCAGACTGACGCACTGATGCTCCGCAGCCAATCCGGAAGCGTGGAGCAGTTTTAAATGAAGACGACGGGTGAAGTAGCTATCACCTCTTGGGTCTGCGAGGTGGTCGATCAGTTCTTTGTGTTGAAATGTGGCGGTTGAAAAAACTGAGCCTGTCGCCTTCGCCCCAACCGGTGAGCGGGACAGCCTCATGGAGAATGACATAGCTGGGTCGAGCCTGGGGCGGGGATGGGGGCGTGTGGAGTGTTTTGTTGGTCCTGGCGCTTCCGCGCGTCTGGGGTGGGAGCTTCTTATTGCCCCCTGAACTTTTTAGCCGGGGACGGGCGGAGAGCCCAGGCTTCCTTACACTGTCTATTTCTTTCTCAGGGAAAATCAGCTATGAGAACTCCTCTCCAAGAACTTAACCTGCAGCCCGGTGCCCTCACCAGCTCTGGAAAAGGGCCCCGGAAAAGCTACTCGACCCCATCACTGTGCAGACTGGGGCTGCAGGTGAGATTCGCCTGGCCAGCTTCTTTACTGGGCTCTTTGCCGAGGCCGAGAGCTCAGAGGAACTGAGGGCCAGAGCTGGAACGTAATTAATAACGATAATGAAGCCTTCTACTTTAGTGACATCCATTTACAGCTATTCAGGCCAACGGAGAGGTGCTCTAGGGTGAATAAAGGAAATCCACTGAGAATCGGGACCTCTATTTAGCTGTTAGATTTTATCACCTCCTCCCCGCTCAATCTTTACGAAATTAGAGAAAAATACTACCATTTTGATTAATAGTCTCTCTCTAACACCGGCTTACTTACGCAGAGGTCAGACAGCTGACAGAGTGAGGCAATACAGGGTGGGGCAAAGTAGGTTTACAGTTGTTCTATGGAAAATAATACAATAATTAATAGTACAAGAATAAACTCTGTGTTTTGTGCACTCACAACTGTAAACCTACTTTTGCCCCACCGTGTATCCATCCATTCTATTTTTTTTCTCTTTCTGATAATGAGAACTATATAGTTTACCATATTTTCCCTCTTGCTCTGGCTTCTAGAAAGTTCAAAGTCAAATCTGATCATTAGGTATAGCTACTATTACTCCTTGAAAGGGGAAGATTTGCTTATTTTTTCTTCTATTTATTTTTTTAATATTTCTTTTTTAAAATATGTTTTTATTGATTTTTTTAGAGAGAGAGGAAGGGAGAGAGAGACATCAATTGGCTGCCTCCCACATGCCCTCCCACTGGGGATGGAACCTGCAACCCAGGCATGTGCCCTGACTGGGAACCAACCAGGACCTCTCAGTCCATGGGACAACGCCTAATCCACTGAGCCACACTGGTCAGGTGAATCTTTTTACATACTCATATTTTTGGGGGGTTCAAGTTGTCATATGTTTCTTCCATCAGCTGTGTTTTGTTGGAGCCTACCTTTTCTCACTATCTTAGGATTTGTTCTTTCTCTGGCTACTAGATCCACTTAGGTACATGCATATTTTGTTTCCTTGTTCATTGAGTCTCAGGACAGGCAACCCTGCAAGTGGTAGAAGGTAAAGTGGTCCTTGTCCCTGTGAACCAACAGTTAGAGGTTGTCAGTTTCTTATTAGGGCACCAGGAGGAAGTCTCTCTGCTCTTCATTCTTCTCTGCTACAAAAGCTGGAGCCTTCAAATCACAACGGTTCAATGAATTCAACCCATGTATTCAGGATGCCCTCAGCTCTTGGGGTGACAGAGACTAGGTTACTGGTACAGGTGGATGTTGCCCTTTTTCCTCAGGGTCCATGGATCTCTGTGGGCCAAGCGATCTCTAACTCTGGTCTCCAATTTCTCATCTGTTCCAGAAGGAAGAAAATCTTGTACCAACTCTAGATTCTAATAGAGCTTGAGGCTAAGGACCCCTCCTACCTATTTCCCTTAGAAGTGAGTTGGAGTTAGAATCGAAGAGAAGTGGCGTCACTTTGATGTAGATATTTGTTTATGCTGTAGGCAGGTTCACTTGGAAGGCCCCAAATGGCTTCCCAGCTTTTCTTTCCCTGATATTGGGTCTCTGTAGTGAGCAGCAAGGCTTAGCCAAGGTCCTTCCTAAGCAGAGGTAGTGAGAACTCTTTCCTTTTTCGAATTTGGACAGTAACCTGCACCCATCATTGTATGTTGGGAACCAGAATTGATTGCCTTAGTCAACTGCTTTTGTTTCCTTTGGCAGGAGGGCAGCAACAAGTTATCTCCACTGGATTCTGAAAATGCTAAGATGACAGACTCCCCAAAGTGGCTAGAAGCTTGCCAACATGAATCAGATAAGCATCCTCTAAGTCTGATTCCTCAAAACAACTCTACTCCCAAAACACCTGAGGAAGCAGTAGACCCACTGAACAACAATGTGGTTAAAACCATGATCCTTGTACCCTCTGCAGGAGGGCAGTCAGAAGACATTACACTTGAGGCCCATTTAAATACCATGGCAGAGACAAACAGTTTTTCTCTAGATGAGCCTTTGAGGCCAGGAGTTCTACTGAGAAAGGGGGTGGAACCCTGCATGGAAGATAGCTTTTCAGCAGTTGTTCCTGCTGTGCCTGAGAAACTTACATTTCAGGATCCTCCATTCCATCTCTTGGAGCATCCATCAAATCCCTGTTCTGAGCAACAGCTACACTGTTTCAAGAAAAGCTTGGGGGACAGTAGAACTGAGGCTGTGCTTGAGGACTTAGTGTCTTCTGAAAGTGATACCTTCTTGCCTTCCTCCATGCTCTGTCTTCCCCCTTCAACTGCCTTAGCAGCAGATTTCCCTGTCAGTCATGTGAACACAGGGGAGGAAACTGTAGAGCACAGAGCTATAGAGGAAAGAGAAATGAGCTTTCCAACCCTCCTTGAGGAGTTTGAATTGAGAGATCAAGCACTGGTCTCAAAGATGCAAGATACTCCGTCCACATGCCTGACCCCAAATCCAGGAGAAATGGAATCCCAGGCAGCTCCATGCCCAGCAGTAGAAGATGCTGGTAGGATTCTCATCTCTGATACAGGGCCTTGGATGTCCCCACTGGCCTGGCTGGAAAAAGGTGTAAATACCTCAGTCATGCTGGAAAACCTCCGCCAGAGTTTATCCCTGCCCTCTGTGCTTCAGGATGCTGCAACTGGCACTACTCCTTTCTCTACTTGCTCTGTGGGGACTTGGTTTACTCCCCCAGCACCACCACAGGAAAAGAGTACAAACACATCCCAGACAGGCCTGGTGGGCACCAAGGACAGTACTTCTGAGAGGGAGCACCTGTGGGGGAAGTAAGTGTCCCTATATCCTGGTGCCTCCTGGGCTCCATTAACCTGGACCTGCCACTTCCATCCCTTCCCCTCTCTTTCTTATCCTCATGTTCTCTTTCTGCTGCAGCCACCCTCCAGATCTGACTGCCTTATCGCGACACGACCTAGAAGATAACCTGATGAACTCTCTTGTCATTCTGGAGGTTCTCTCCCGCCAGCTGCGGAATTGGAAGAACCAGCTGAACCCTCACCCAGAAGTTCAGGACAGTAGCACACAGACTGACACAACTGACAACTCTCCCAATGGGGTAAGAAGGTTATTCCCAAAGCGTGGAAGATCCCAGTGGGCCCTCTTCCTCAGAATTTAAGCTGATAAACTACCAGAGAGCAAAGGAGACTAATTCTTAGAATATGTAAAAGTTGTGGATTTGGAAAATTCCTTAAAGCTTGTGGGTACTCACTATACTCCTGGGGTACCTCAAGACTTTTGATGGGAAGGCAAGCAAGGAAAGTTTTAAGAGAATCGGTCTCTAGATCTTCATCTTCCAAATATACTCTGCTAGGTTTTTTTGCTTTCCTGGTTCCCCATTCTCAATTCCCTTGCCCACTTTACTAAAGAAGACCATAGCCCTGGCCAGTTTTGCTCAGTGGTTAGAGCGTCGGCCTGTGGACCAGAGAGTCCCAGGTTCAGTTCCCGCTAAGGGCATGGACCTCGGTTACAGTTTGTCCCCGGCCCCAGTTGGGGTCGGGTGAGTGGTACCAGTTGATGTGTCTCTCTTGCATCGATGTTTCTCTCTCTCTCTTCCTCCCTCCCTCCCTCCCTCCTGCTCTATCTGAAGATAAATACAAAAATGTCCTCCAGCCCTGGCCAGTTTGGCTCAGCGGTTAGAGCGTCGGCCTGCGGTCCGGAGAGACCCGGGTTCGGTTTCCGCTAAGGGCACATACTTCGGTTGCAGTTTGTCCCCGGCCCTGGTTGGTCGTGCGGGTGGCAGCCACTCGATGTGTCCCTTCACGTCGATGTTTCTCTCTCTCCCTTCCTCTCTCTCCCTCCCACTCTATCTGTACAAAAAATGGAAAAATATCCTCGGGTGAGGATTAAAAAAAAAAAAAAAAAATGTCCTCCAGTGAGGATAAAAAAAGAAGACCATATTTACTACCTATCCTGAGTCTTACATTGTCAAGGGATAGCAATCGAATAATAGAAAATATTTGTGTATGTGCTGAGAAAATGAATGACTATAATGATCATATAACATGTTTTTTGCATGTTTTCAACAAAATTGAAGAAAAACTTTAATTATGTTATTGGATCATTAAATATTTTTTTTTTTTTTTTTTTTTTTTTTATCCTCACCCGAGGATATTTTTCCATTTTTTGCACAGATAGAGTGGGAGGGAGAGAGAGGAAGGGAGAGAGAGAGAGAAACATCGACGTGAAGGGACACATCGAGTGGCTGCCACCCGCACGACCAACCAGGGCTGGGGACAAACTGCAACCGAAGTACGTGCCCTTAGCGGGAACCGAACCCGGGTCTCTCCGGACCGCAGGCTGACGTTCTAACCGCTGAGCCAAACCGGCCAGGGCGGATCATTAAATATTTTTGATGAAAGTTTACTATGAGAGTTTTGGCATGTATCTCCAAAGGAGCTCCTAGAATTGGGTGACATGCCCCTGCCCTTCTTGCCTTTTTTTCATTCCTACTTATTCCTATTATTTTTGCGAGTACTTCTCAGTGCTTACATCTAGAAGATGGAAAATAGGCATAGAATTGTTGCTGAATCATGTCTTATTGTAGGAATTATAGTAATCCACAGACACATGAATTAATAAGGGGAAGGAGGCTCTATCCATTTCATTAATAGATGATTATCAATAAAATTTTACTAGATATATTTGTGATTATATTAAAATTATTATATTACAATGATTAGTATACAACTGTTGAAAATATTTCTCCATCTAAAAGAACTATTTTTCACTTAAAAGCTATGGTCAGGAATTTAAAAGAAATTTTAATTTCAATTTAGATGAACTTTTGTTGTTGCAAATATGTTGATCAGTAACAGACTATAACAATAAAGATAAAAAAAAAGACTACAGTATAAAAATACATTAGGTAGCTCCTTGATTAAGAGAAAGAACAAAATTTCTGCCCATAAGATACTGTCAAGAAATGAGGGCAATAGCTGGGTGTGGAAGGAAAACCCTGAAGTTCCGGTTGAAGCCATATAGTATTTTATGGGATTATCGTCTAAGACATACTCCAAGATGTGTGAGGAAGTCACTACTCCAAGCTTTTGTGTTATTAAGATTCATTTTAAGTATTCATTTATGGTATTATGTTTGCAACGCTCATCTAAATCACAATGCCTCAGTAGTTTGCTACCTTTGAGACATTTATGTGTGCACAAATGAATCTTTTATATATTTAAAAGGTTTTCTATCATGTACTGGATTGCTCAGAGTAAAGTATCTATTAGACTCTGAGTAAATAAATAAATAAATTTCTTTAAATAGTGTGGATTAATAATATAAAAATGTGTAGCAACACTGTGTATATAGCCTCCCTGTATAATTGAGAAATAAACATCGATTCCACAAGTGAAAAAAATAAAAATACATTAGGATAAAATTCTGAAAGGAATGAAAATACAGGTTCAAGAAGAAAAAGAGATGGTGTAAAATTTCTGACTGTTAAAAAAGAGCTTGTTCATGTATTTTTAAATGTATAAAATAGGTATTAAATCATTATGGTGTATGTAGACCATTGGATATAATTAAGAGTGATTTTTTAAGAAATATGTTTTTAATGATTTTTTTTTTTTTTAGAGAGAGAGAGAAAAGTAGAAACATCAGTGTGAGAGAAAAACGTCAATCAGCTGCCTCCTGCACACCACCTACTGGGATCGAGCCTGAAACCCAGGCATGTGCCCTCATCAGGAATTGAACCGGGACCTCTCGGTCCAAGGGGTGACACTCAATGCACTGAGTCACACCGGCCGGGCATTAAGAGTGATTTAACACTTTTATTTCAAATTGTCAATATTTATAATATGGTGAAAATTACAGCCTTTATAACAATTTAAATTTAAGGGCACTCAGTCTTTCAAAATTATTATAGCAGATAGGAGAGGAAAACAGTTTAAAGAACAATTTTGTAGAGGCCTCTATCTGTGACAACACAGACTGAGGAATAAAGGGAATGGTGTTGCCCTGGCTGGTTTGGCTCAGCGGTTGAAGCATCAGCCTGTGGACCAGAAAGTCCTGGGTTCGGTTCCCACTAGGGGCATGTACCCAAAAAATAAATAAATAAATAAAAAAGAAAGGGAATGGTGTCAAGGGAAGAAATTGAGAAGCTGGTGAGGTTAATAGGTGGTACTGCTAAGAAGAGATGTTCTCCAAATGCCCAAAGACCTCCTTTGGGTTAAAATATCCTCAAATAACGACATTATCTTTTTTCAAAATCCTGGAAACCATAGGCTCATCATTCCTTTAGCTGCTCAATTTCTCTCCTGTTTTCTTATTTTTGTATCCTTTTCTCTTGTCTTTGACCTCATTCCCTACCCCAGAGTTGGCCTTGTACCCCTTCCTCTGAAGCTTGCCAAATTCCTTTAGAGGCCACTGAAGCAGAACCAAAGAGGGGAAATGACAACACCTTCAGCCATTCCCCATCACATTGCTATGTCCTTGCTGCTTGGTTTCATCCTTCACACTAATCTCATCACCTGCCTGACTGCCCAGCTCTGAACAGTGTGTGCGTCTTGTCCAGCGCTCATGGGGTACTCTGTGCCTTACTGCACGACATGGGGGAATGATTAGTATTTTGCTGGGGAAGGGAGCAATGAACTCCAAGAGATCTGCCCCCCTTAAATCCAGACTGCTGTAACATCATGACTCAGCACTGCTGCTCCAGCAGTTAGTTTTTTCCCACATGATGGCTGCCTTTCAGCAGTAATGAAGGCTCCTCACTTTTCTCTCAGAACTTTAAAGTCTTCCCATAGCTTTGCAGCCTTTGAGATCATGTGTCTACTCTACATAGCACACTAAGATTTTGGTCTGCCCCAAGATAACGAACAATTAGAGAATAAGGAAATAAAAATGACTAATAAATATTTGAGAAGCTTACCATTACTGATGATCAGAGAAATGAAACAATGATGCTATTTTCTTTCTCTTTTTTATTAATTTTTCTTTTCTTAATTTTATTTTTCAATTACAGTTTACATTCAATATTATTTTGTATTAGTTTCAGGTGAACAGAATAGTGGTGAGACAATCATATTTTACAAAGTGGTCCCCCAGCCCTGGCCAGTTTGGCTCAGCGGTTAGAGTGTCGGCCTGCGGTCTGGAGAGACCCGGGTTCAGTTCCCGCTAAGGGCACGTACTTCGGTTGCAGTTTGTCCCCGGCCCTGGTTGGTCGTGCGGGTGGCAGCCACTCGATGTGTCCCTTCACGTCGATGTTTCTCACTCTCTCTCCCTTCCTCTCTCTCCCTCCCACTCTATCTGTACAAAAAATGGAAAAATATCCTCGGGTGAGGATAAAAAAAACAAACCAAAAAAAACCAAAGTGGTCCCCCAATATTGCCAGTACCCATCCACAGTTATTACAGTATTATTGGCTATATTGTCTATGCTGTACTTTACATCCCCAATTATGCTATTTTCTTGACAAAATAGCAAAGAATAAAATAGATAATGCTGATACACACTGTCCTGCTGTCAGTAGGATATAAGTTGGTTCAACTTTTTTTGGAGGACATTTAAGTAAGGCCCTTAAATCAGTTCAAATTTTTTGATCCAGTAACTTCACATCTATGGATATAGCCTAAGAAAAATAAAATTCTGCATAAAGATGGTAATTAAAAAAATAATAATAATAAAAATAATGGTATATCCATAAGATGGGACATTCTGCAGTCATTTAAAAGTATGTTTATGAAGAATTTTTAATAACGTGGGAAAAGAAGTTTAACATAACTGCAAGGTTTTTAAAGAAAGGAAATCAGTCCAGCCAGTGTGGCTCAGCGGTTGAGTGTCAACCCATACAGCAAGAGGTCTCCAGTTCAATTCCTAGTCAGGACACATGCCCAGGTTGTGGGCCCGATCCCCAGTGAGGGGCATGCAGGAGGCAGCCAATCGATGTTCTCTCTCATTAATGTTTCTTTCGCTGTCTCCCTCTTCTCTCTCTAAAATAAATAAAGGAAAAAAAATTAAAAAAGAAAAAGAAAGGAAATCAGAGTTCAGATAACCTCTGAGAGGCTTTGAGTTGAAATATCAGCAGAAGTTAAAAATGGGTGATACTCTACTTTGATAAGTCCCCCTAAAGTAGATATTCCAGTTTCAGGCTATTCCAATGAGGAGAGTGAATATAAATTCAGAGCTAAATAACCTTAGTTTAATAAAATCAAGTAATTAAAGCAGGACCCCAAATATATATAAAGTAATCTCAACTGTTTTTTTTTTTTAATCCTCATCCGAGGACATTTTTCCATTTTTTGTACAGACAGAGAGGGAGAGAGAGAGAGGAAGAGAGAGAGAGGGAAACATCGATGTGAAAGGGACACATCGAGTGGCTGCCACCCGCACGACCAACCAGGGCCGGGGACAAACCGCAACCGAGGTACGCGCCCTTAGCAGGAACTGAACCCGGGTCTCTCCAGACCGCAGGTGGACGCTCTAACCGCTGAGCCAAACCGGCCAGGGCTCAACTGGTTTTTCTTAAGCATTACTGTCTTTCAGATTTTAAGATGCATCCCAATTTTATTTTATTTTATTTATTTATTTATTTAATCCTCACCCGAGGACATTTTTCTATTTTTTGTTCAGATAGAGTGGGAGGGAGAGAGAGGAAGAGAAAGAGAGAGAGAAACATCGACGTGAAAGGGACACATCGAGTGGCTGCCACCCATCTGACCAACCATGGTCTGGGACAAACTGCAACCGAGGTGTGCACCCTTAGCGGGAACCGAACCCGGGTCTCTCTGGACCGCAGGCTGACGCTCTAACCGCTGAGCCAAACTGGCCAGGGCGAGATGCATCCCAATTTTAGAGGTGTTAAAATGTAAAAAGGTAATCATCTTAGAATTTACTGAATATTGTAATTCCTTTCTAAATCAGTACTCTACAACTATTTGCTCCCCCGCCCCGCCCCAGCACCTTAGGGAAATAATATACTTATCAGTTACAGCAAATCCCTATAGCAACATCTCTGGTGTGGACATATATCAAAATCTTTTGAAATAGGTGGTATACTGTTGGTTAAAAATCACTGCTCTAGGTTGTGAAATTAGCAGTGATTTCTTTTTGCATTTTATTCACTTCTGTCTTTCCAAAATCTGACAATAAACACTATCCTCATAATTAGAAAACGTTATTGTAAAAAAGATATTTTTACCTATTTCTGGATTTTTTTCTGACTTGGCTTCATCAAGCTGTGAGCTTTGCTTTCTGGTTTTTTGTTTTGTTTTGTTTTTGTACATGCCCCTAGCGGAAACTAAACCCGGGACTCTCTGGTCCACAGGCTGACGCTCCAGCCGCTGAGCCAAACCAGCCAGGGCTTGCTTCCTGACTCACAGGAAAGGATCCTGTGTCTTGATGGGTGGGAGGGGAAGTGAGGTACTGGTGGTGCATGCTACCTATGCAAAAGAAACAGCTCTGTTTCTCTGCCTAGATAAGTAAGCAACTGCAGCATCTTCCAGAGAACCAAGAGATTGGACAGACTCTGCAGCAGACCAGGAATGTTATGGTAAGTGTTGACTGATCTTATATCACGACTGGGTCTCCTGTGAAAATCAAGAATGGAGAATCCTGGGTGGTTAGCTGATGGTGGTACTCAACTGTGGTAGTGAAGGAAGGGAGGTCTCCAAACCTTTGTTAAGAACATCTCCTTACTGGAGCTTGAAATTGGGGTTAGTGGCTTTCCTTACCAGTGTCCCTGCTTATATCCTGCTGAGTGACTTTATTTAATCTAGCTAACTATCTTTCCCTCTATAGCAATCATGGGTGCTGATCTCTAAAGAGCTGATATCCTTGCTTTACCTATCTCTGTTGCACTTAGAGGAAGACAAAACTACTGTGAGTCAGGAGGTAAGCAGCATGAAGATGAAGGCAGAGGCCTCTGGTGGGACTGAAAGCCAAAAGAGGGAACCAGACACAGGATCTGATTCTTATCTTGTAGTCTCGGCGCACAGAAACCTTGGTCTCCTGCTGTTTTGATGTGTTGAAGAAATTGAGGACAAGGCTCCAGAGCCTCAAAATAGAAAGGGAGGAGTCAAAGCACAAAGAGGAAATGGCCCTCAGAGGCAAGGATGTGGTAAGTTGTCAGGCTTGTGTTCCTGGATGTGGGCGATCTCTTCCTCAGGGTTCCTACAGGAACACAAATTTACTTGAGACAGAGATGGGTGGCCTAAGAATTGTCTGCCCTAGAGAATAATGAATTAAACTATTGATGTGGCAGATAGTTTGGCTTTTTGTGCTCTTTCCCTCCTCTGCCTACCATGTCCTTGAAACCTCTTCCCCAATCAGGCAGAGACAGTGCTAGAGGCTTTCTGTGCACATGCCAGTCAGCGCATCAGCCAGTTGCAACAGGACCAGGCATCCATGAGGAAATTCAGAGGACTCTTGAAGGAGGCCCAGATCCAACTGGTAATTTGAGGGCATTTTCTTTATTGAGATCCATGCTGATACATGGGAGCATGATCATATACCCCCACTTTGTTGTATCCAGGGGAAGGGGGCTCCCTCCATAGCACTCCTTTTTGTATAGGTAGGTCTTCATACTGAGCAAGAAGAGTTGGCTCGGCAGACAACAAGTCTTACTTCAATCTTGCAACAGGATTGGATATCTATGCAACTGGATGTGAGTATTTGGGGCCATCATACCACTCCTTTACTCACAGCCAACCTGTTAGGAACCTTGCCTCAAGAGTGCTTGACTGACCTGCTTTCTTCCCCTGGTAGTATATAACATGGACAACTCTGCTGAGCCGGTCTCGACAACTCACAGAGAAACTCACAGCTAAGAGCCGGCAGACCCTACAGGAACGTGATGCTGCAATTGAGGAAAAGCAGCAGGTACAAACCATGAATGGAGACTGCTTAGGCCTGACTTCCTTCTCTACAGAGTAGCCTCTTACCCTGGACCTGTCTTTTTTCTACCCTGTGGGTTTGGAAACCATCCAGGTCCCTCCCCTGTAAGATGGCCTTTGGCCTAGTCATTTCCTTTGCACTTCAGCATCTTCTTCAGAAACTTTTCTCCTGTTACTACTTTTTCCTGATGATCAGCCTTATTTGCTGCAGTGTTGCTTCCCAGGAGCAAGGTGGTTTGCTGTTCTGTCCAGAAAGAGAAGCTGGACCAAGTCCTGGGACTCTTGATTCAGGAGGAACTGTGGGAGAAAAACTCTTTTCTTCCTAGGTTTCCATGGAGCTGGAACAAGTCTCTTCCCAGTTAGAGGACTGCAAAGGCCAAATAGAACAACTGGAGTTGGAAAATAGTCGCCTAGCAACAGGTGTGTGTGCATGCATGCTAGCATTTGTGCCCTGCTAAGGCTTGGGGTGTGGCAGTAGAACAAGAACGTGCTCTAGAGCACTTGTTTGGAGCAGAAGTGTGGGGAGGTTCTGACCTGGTGACCACATGGTGTCATTAGGATACTTTTGGTTTAGATCTCCAGGCTCAGCTGCAGATTCTGGCCAGCACACAGAGTCAGCTAAAAGAGCTACAGAGTCAGCATGCCCATTGTACCCAAGACCTGGCCATGAAGGATGAGTTGCTCTGCCAGCTTACCCAGAGCAATGAGAAGCATGCTACTCAGTGAGTTCCTATCAGGTTATTGTGGCAGTAGGTGCCCAGGATATAGGACCAATGGGATCTAATATAAGGTTTCTGGCAGATGGCAAAAGGAAGAGATGGCACTAAAACATATGCTAGCAGAGCTGCAGCAGCAACATGCTGTCCTGGCCAAGGAGGTGCAGGACCTGAAGGAGACTCTGGAGGTAAGGAATATGGCTTGGGGCGGGGAAGCTGGCAAGAGTGTGACTCTTTTTTTTTACTCTTCACCCCAGGATACTTTTCTGAGTGGGAGGGAGGGAGGGAAAGAGAGAGAAACATCAATGTGAGAGAGACACATTGACTGGTTGCCTCCCACATGACCCCAACCAGGGTCAGGGACCAAACCTCATCCAAGGTACATGCCCCTGACTGGAATTGAACCTGCAACTCTTCAGTCCATGGGCCGATGCTCTAACCACTGAGCCAAACAGGCCAGGGCATGTGACTCTTACCAGATGGTACTGAAATGAGGTTTGAGACAGAGGACTAGTAAAAGCCTCTGTTTCCAGAGCTCCAACATTTCCCACTTAGATTCATTTTACCCCCTCCTTCTCATGCTCCTTTTCTTTCTTCCTTCTCCTGTTTCCCTAGTTTGCAGATCAAGAGAATCAGGTAGCTCACTTGGAGCTGGGCCAGGTTGAGTGTCAGTTGAAAACCACACTGGAAGTGCTCCGGGAGCGCAGCTTGCAGTGTGAAGACCTCAAGGACACTGTAGAGAATCTGAAGTAAGATCTCCACCTTCTGTGCTTTCCCTCTAAGTGCTTATCTTTCCCAGAAACCCTTTTAGAAGCTAAAGTCTCCAAGGATGGAATTATGACAAGGTCCAGAGCCTTTTGTTTTCCTTTTAAATGCAGTTCTGTTTGGGATTTGGGAGAGATATTCAGAGAAGTTCCTTTCTTATATTTCAGGTCTAAGCTGGCTAGCACCATAGCAGAGAACCAGGAGAAAGACCTAGAGAAGACACGCCAGTATTCCCAAGAGCTAGAGGTGCTGAATGAGCAACTACAGAGCCTGACCCTCTTCCTACACACAAAACTAAAGGAGAAGGTAGGATCTGGGGGCTCCTCCTTTTCCCTTCCGATCGTATCTTTCATTTCTTCCTTCCCAATCTGCATATCTCTTATATCCTTTTCTTTAAAAATTTTTTTAAATTTATTTTTGTTACAGTTGTTTTTCCCTTTTCCCCATTGACACCCTCCTCCCGATCCCCCACCCCCACCCCATCCCCAGCATTGTTGTCTGTGTCCATTGGTTACACGTACATGCATATATCCTTTTCTTGTCTTACTATATTAGTTAGAACTTTCACTACAATGTTGAAAAGGAGTGGTGAGAGGGGACATGCTTGCTTTGTACCTGATCTTTTTTTTTTTTTTTTAATTTTTTTTCTTTATTGATTTTAGATAGAGAGGAAGGGAGAGGGAGAGAGAAATAGAAACATTGATGAAAGAGAACATCGATTGGCTGCCTCCCGCATGGCCCCCACTGGGGATTTGGCCCACAACCTGGGCATGTGCCCTGACCGGGAATTGAACCAGTGACCTCCTGGTGCATGAGTTGATGCTCAACCACTGAGCCACACCGGCCAGGCTATACCTGATCTTAAAGGGAAAGCTTCAAGTTTCTCACCATTAAGTATGATGATAGCTGTAAGTTTTTGTAGATATTCTTTATCAAGTTGAGGAATTTCCCCTCTATTCCTAGTTTACTGAGATTTTCCAATTATATCTTTAATTCCTACAACACTATTTTTGTTCCAAACATCTCTGTGGCCTTAGTGACTTTCAGTTGCCTACAGGCTCTCTTTGACCTGTCACTCAAACTTTTCTTTATTTGTCTTCTACCTCCATATTATGAATCCTTCATTCCAACTAGACTAGACTGCCTATACGCTACAAACACATCCCCTCTCCATTTACCCCTAGACTCAGGCTGTCCATCTCCACCTCCATATCCATCTTCTCTGTCTTCAAACTGGAAATACCTTTTCCTTTCCTATTAAAATACTCTCTAGTTCACCTTCTTTTAAATGTTTCAAAATCACATCGACTCAATGATCTCTTGCACTTGTATTAATTTTCCTTGGCTGTCTGGTCTCTTCAATTAGACTTTGTTTAAAGAAAACAGAAATTTAGTCTTGCTTCTTTGGCTTCCCCACAGTGCACCCTAAACAATAAATGCAGCCATTTATCTTTCAGAATACAGAGTTAATTAGCTTATTCAACAGTTAAAGGTGCAGCCAGGATCCTGAAGTCTGAAAGTGCTTATGATCTGACCCTCTTCCCTAGTTTGTACTGAGCATAGGAAATGCAAAAGAATCCATAGTCTTGCAGGGAAGACAGCCAGATGTAAACTTGTCATCTTGACTTGTGATCGTGATAGTAGTCTGTGTGGATGATCACTGTGAGAGCACAGAGAAAGGAGCATCTGTTCTAACTTTGAGAGTTAGGATGTCTTCTCAAAGCGGGTGACCCTTGGGCAGCCATAAGGCTTAGAAGTTTGCAAGGGTGATTATATAGGAAGGTCCACCAGGCAGAGGGAGTAGTATATGAAAGTCATAAAGGCACTATGCATACATTTTTGTAATGTCTATCTTGTAACAAGGCCTAGGTGAGGTGCTGAGACTGTAGATGAACAAGGCAAGGCCCTACTCACATGGAATATGGCAAGTTTGGGGATTTGGAAGTAGCTCTTTATAATTGGATTGTAGGAGTTTTTGGGGTGAGGATGACAAGGAGACAAGGCTAGAGAAATAGGCAGGATGCTAGATTTTGAAAGCTTAAACTAATGGCAATTATAGATGGGTTGGGAGGAGGGGATGGTTTGGATGAATCCAATACATATTTGGGAAGTACAAGTAATAGAACTTTGTGACTAATTTGATATAGGAGTAAGGAGGAAGAGTGAATGGTGATGTCTAGATGGCTGGAAAGATGGTGACACTCTCTAGAACTGGGTTGACAAACTTCCTGTGAAGTGAAACGTAATAAATATTTTCAGCTTTGAGAGCCATGTAGTCTCTGTCTTAACTACTCATCTTTACCTTTATATCTCAATAGCAACCATAGACAGTATATAAATGGATGGGTATGGCTGTGGTCGATATTTACAAAAACAGGTGGCAGGCCAGATTTGAGCTGCAGACAGTGCTGCCCCTACTCTAGGATCATGAATACAGGAGGAACACATTTTTTGGTGGGGTGGGTCAGGGAAAATGGTGAGCTCAGTTTTATACATACTACATTTCAGGTGAACTATGGCATATCCTGGTAGATTTTTCACAGGCAGTTGAGCCTCCAGATCTAGAGATTGGGGGAAAATCCAGTTGATAGAGACTGAAGAGTCATCTATTAGGAAGTGGATATTTTTGAGGAGCTCCTGAGGTAAGGCCACCCGGGGAACAGATTAGAGTGTGAAGAGGGCCAAGGCTTAACCAGAAGGATCCCAACAATTAAGGACTTATGGATAGAAAGAAGAAATAACCAGAAAGGTATGAGGCCTACCTATAAAGGAGAGAGAGTCATGTCCCAGAAGATAAGAAAAGGAAGTTTCTAAAGAATGTGGCTATTGATTATCAAATAGGTCAGGTAAAATAAGAGCTGAAAAATGTCCACTGTATTTGCAAATAAGGATGCCATTGAATGAAATAATGAGAATTTTGGTGGGTTCATGTTGCAGAAGCCTGAGTATAGTGGGCTGGGGAGTCAATAGATGGTGAGAATTTTAGGCAAGAACTGTAGGGGATTTAAGGCAAGAAGAAGTTTTTTTTATATTTTATTATTATTATTTGTTGTTGTTGTTAATTCTCACCCGAGGATATTTTTTCCATTGATTTTTTTTTTTTATCCTCACTTGAGGACATTTTTCCATTTTTTTGTTCAGATAGAGTGGGAGGGGGAGAGAGAGAGAGAAACATGTGAAAGGGACACATCGAGTGGTTGCCACCTGCACGACCCAATCAGGGCCAGAGACAAACTGCAACCGAGGTACATGCCCTTAGCGGGAACCAAACCCGGTCTCTCTGGACCACAGTCCGACCGCTGAGCCAAACTGGCCAGGGCTCCATTATTTATTTATTTATTTATTTATTTATAATCCTTACTCAAGGATATTTTTCCATTTATCTTCAGATAGAGTGGGTGGGAGAGAGAGAAACATCACTGTGAGAGAGACACATGGGTTGGTTGCTTCCCGCACAACCCTGACCAGGGCCGGGGACCGAATCCAACCAAGGTACGTGCCCTTGACTGGAATTGAGCCTGAGATTCTGGTCCGCAGGTTGACACTCTAACCACTGAGCAAAACGGCCAGGGCTTCATTGATTTTTTTATTTAATTTTTTTTTTTAATATTTTTTTTCTTTATTGATTTTAGACAGAGAGAAAGGGAGAGTGAGATCGAAACATCAATGAGAGAGACCATCGATTGGCTGCTTCCTGCATGTCCCCTACTGGGGATTGGGCCCACAACCAGGGCATGTGCCCTGATGGGGAATCAAACTGGTGACCTCTTGATGCAGGGGTTAACACTCAACCAGTGAGCCATACCGGCTGGGCTTGATATTTTTTTAGAGAGAGTGGAAGGGACGGAGGGAGGGGGAGAAAAAGAGAGAGAGAGACACATGTATCAGTTGCCTCCTGCATGTGCCTTGACTGGGTACAGGGATTGAATTTGCAACACAGGTACGTGCTCTTGACCGAAATCAAACCTGTGACCCTTTGGTGCATGTGTCGACACTGTAACCACTGGGCCACATCAGCCAGGGCAAGGTTTTATTTATTTATTTATTTATTTATTTATTTATTTATGTATGTATTTATTTAATCCTCACCCAAGGACATTTTTTGCATTTATCTTCAGATAGAGCTGGAGGGAGAGAGGGGTCAAGAGAGAGAGAGAAACATCGATGTGAAAGGGACACATCGAGTGGCTGCCACCCGCACGACCAACCAGGGCCGGGGACAAACTGCAACCGAGGTACATGCCCTTAGCGGGAACCGAACCCGGGTCTCTCCGGACCGCAGGCCAACGCTCTAACCACTGAGCCAAACTGGCCACGGCGCAAGGTGTTTTTTTTAAAAAGAATTATTGTACTTCCATGATGTTCAGCACTGGGCTCTGATCACCCCTGAGGGGCCCTGGTGTTGGTGTTCTTTAGACACCCAGAGTGTTTCTTTGCCCACCCTTACCAAGTCTTTAAAAAAAAATGAATTATTGTAGTTGTTTTCAGGGAAAGTAGATAAGGAAGAAGGTGAAGGTAGAGAAGAGAAGTAATAGAGAGAACAGCATTTCATGCCCTGGCCAGTTTGGCTCAGTGGTTAGAGTCATCGGCTTGTGGACCTAAAGAGTCGTAGGTTCAATTCCGGCCAAGGACATGTACCTCAGTTGGGGTTTGTCCCCGTCCCTGGTTAGGTTGTGCGGGAGGCAACCAGTTGGTGTGTTTCTCTCACATAAATGTTTCTCTCTCTCTCTCTTTTCCTCCCACTCTATCTGAAGATAAATGGAAAAATATCCTCGGGTGAGGATTAAAAAAAAATAGTAACTAGCCCTGGCCGATTTGGCTCAGCGGTTAGAGTGTTGGCCTGCGGTCCAGAGAGACCCGGGTTTGGTTCCTGCTAAGGGCACGTGCTTCTGTTGCAGTTTGTCCTTGGCCCAGGTTGGGTCGTGCAGGTGGCAACCACTTGATGTGTCCCTTTCACGTCGATGTTTCTCTCTCTTCCTCCCTCTCTATTTGAACAAAAAATGGAGGAATGTCCTCTGGTGAGGATTAAAAAAATAAAAGTAAATAAATAAAAATAGCCCTGGCCGGTTTGGCTCAGCGGTTAGAGCGTCGGCCTGCGGTCCGGAGAGACCCGGGTTCGGTTCTCACTAGGGGCACGTGCCTCGGTTGCAGTTTGTCTCCGGCCCTGGCTGGTCATGCCGTGCAGGTGGCAGCCACTCAATGTGTCCCTTTCGCATCGATGTATCTCTCTCTCTCTCTCTCTTCCTCTTTCTTCCTCCCACTCTATCTTAACAAAAAAGTGGAAAAATGTCCTTGGGTGAGGATAAAAATAATAATAATAAATAAATAAATAATAAATAAAAATAGAACAGCATTCCAGAGGAGGTAGCTGGTGAGTACCTGGGAGTTCAGGGAAATCACTAACACTGAAAAGCGATGATGTTTTGTTGTCATTATCCCTTAGGCTGAGCCAGAGACCCTCCTGAAAAGTACAGCCTGTGCTTCTGCCCAGCAACACCCTCCACCCACTGACAGCACCTTCTTGGGAAGCATCTTAACAGCAATGGCAGACAAAGGTTAAAGGCCCTGGAATTAGGGGTGGGAAAATTGTGACCCTGCTGATATCTTGAGCTATTAAAGATGCCCATCAACAGACCTATCTCTCCCTGGCTTCCATTATGGCAGATCCTTGACTGGATTACCAGAGGGGCCCTCTACCATGGTTGGTTTTTATTTTAGAGCCAGAATCAGCTCCTGTATCCTTGCTTGGAAGTGACAAGAGTGCTTTCACCCCAGTTGCATCAGTGGCTTGCCTTCAACCTGCAGGTTAGGATGGGCTCCAGGGATCCTGCCTAATATCTAGATCAAGTAGTGATGATAGAGACTAAAACAGTGAAAAGTGCTTTGCTCTAAAAACCTCAATTCTACTTGGGCTCATTTTATTTCTATCTTTTGGGACCTGTAATGTTTTGGACACTCAAATCCTATGAGTGGGGAACATGGATAAGAGTTATGGAAAATAATGCCTATACACTCCTTCCTTCCAGAGCTAAATGGCTCTACCTCTATCTAGGACTTTTTCTTTCAGCGACCCCAGGAATGGAGAAGAGGCTGGAAGAAATGAGTATTATGACTCGGGAGCTTCAGAGCCTGTGTTCCTTGCTGCAAGAGTCTAAAGAAGAAGCTGTCAGATCTCTGCAGCGAAAGATGTGAGTGGAGTACAGTCTTGGTGAGAGAGGTCAGCCCCTTACATCAAGAGCCCAGCTAGCCCTCGGGAGGACAGGAATAATGCAGAACTCTTCTCTTCCCTAGTTGTGATCTGCAGGCTAGGCTGCAGGCCCAGGAAGAACAGCATAAGGAAGCCCAGAAGGCAAAGGAAGTGGACATAGAGAAGCTGAACCAGGCCTTGTGCTTGCGCTACAAGGTGAAGGAGGGGCCTAGAAGTGGGGCAATGAAGAACTGGGGCAGCTGTACTGGCCCACTGGGAACCATTGTCTCTCTGGGAATTTGGGTGATGGGGATTTTCCAACCACTGCCCTAGTTTTGCCCTTCCTGGGGTCAGACATTTTACATGTTTGGGAATCAGCTATGAGCTGACCCATCCCCACGCCAACCTAGAAGTCGGGAGCTCTAGCAGAGCTCTCTCTCAACACTGAGACATGCCTTGCCTGACTTAGCCCTAGGGGAAGAAGAGTGGTATCAATTGGTAGCAACCTGGGCTGAACATGGGTCAGGCACTAAATCCTATTTCCTGGCAAGGGCTGCAAAGAAGCCAGCTCTCTCAGTGCTTTCTTACCTTCTTACTTTCCTTTCTCTCACAGAATGAAAAGGAGCTCCAGGAAGTGATACAGCAGCAGAACGAGAAGATTTTAGAGCAGATAGACAAGAGTGGCGAGCTCATAGTATGTTTGTCATGATGCCCAATCCTCTTCCTCCTTTGTCACTGGTAGCCAGGATCCCAAATGTGGGGATTGGATTCCTGGTCTATCTTGTTCACAGCATGTAATAAAAATGATGGAGAGGAGCTTTAAGGACTACTGGATACCTCTCTGTTCTCATCCCCAGAGCCTTAGAGAGGAGGTGACCCAGCTTACCCGCTCACTTCGGCGTGCGGAAACAGAGACTAAGGTGCTCCAAGAGACCCTGGCAGGCCAGCTAGACCCCAACTGTCAGCCCATGGCCACTAACTGGATCCAGGAAAAAGTGTGGCTCTCCCAGGAGGTGACTCAGAGTTAACAGAGGAGCTGGGCAGCTGGTGGGAACCCTAGGCTGTGCCCCTACTGATTTTGACGTATCTATAGGTGGACAAACTGAGGATGATGTTCCTGGAGATGAAAAATGAGAAGGAAAAACTCATGATCAAGTTCCAGAGTCATGTAAGAATTCCCATGCCGTTGGGGGACCATTTTTCACCACCACTAGCAATTGCCCTGCCATATTTTCCTTGCCTCACAAGCTATGCTGTTTATAATTTTAAAAAAATTTTTTCCTCTTTATTGATTTTAGAGAGAGAGAAAGGGAGAATGAGAGAGAACATTGATTGGCTGCCTCCTGCATGCTCTTCACTGGGAATTGGGCCCACAACCTGGGCATATGCCCTGACCAGGAATAGAACCGGTGACCTCTTGGTGTATGGGTCATCGCTCAACCACTGAGCCACACTGGCTGGGCTATGTTGTTCTTTTAAGCATAGAACTTATGCAACTTATTTGCTTTCTAGAGAAACATTCTGGAGGAGAATCTTCGGCGCTCTGACAGAGAGTTAAAGAAACTAGACGACATTGTTCAGCATATTTATGAGGTAAAGGAAGGCAGGAGTTGAACTAAGGCAATGTTGCAGGCTTCGCTGTGGCTTCCACCCCCCGCCCCCCCCAACTCGGTGGGTGCTTCCTGGGATTGTGACTGAGCTGCCTTTTCTGTCTCTCTTCCCAGACTCTGCTGTCCATCCCAGAGGTCGTGAAGGATTGCAAGGAGCTACAGGGATTGCTGGAATTTCTGAGCTAAGAAACTAAAAGCTGGAGTCTGTTTTAACCCTCTACCTGCAATACTCCATTACCCCAACACCAGGACCAATTGGCATAAAGCCAGCTAGATTTAATGTTATTTAAATAAAGTATATTTAGTGTATTTCTTCAGGCTCGCTGAATCTTGTTTCTTGGGTAAGAGCAGGTGGATAAAGTCAGGAGAGAAGCAGCTTGACCCTCCTGCCTGGGCACCCTCCACTCACCCCTCTAGCTGCACCCAGGGCCAAAGTCGGCTGCCCCTCCTCCCTTCTCTGGCTTCCCCAAATATACTGGGCACTGGACTGCTTGTTCCCTGGCTCACGGCCTGGGGGGTGGGGATGGGGTACAGACAAGGCTTCATTCTCCAGTAGGCCCTGGTGAATAAGAGGGCAAGGACAGAGAAACTCAGTTTCTTACTCCCTGCACTAGACTCCCACACTTTGTTGGTGCCTCTGTCCCGCCTATCCCACCTGTTGTGACTGTTCAGGTAACTCTCCTTCACCACACCAGGCTTAATCCCCAACATCCAGCACATGGTAAAGGCAATTATACCAGAAATGAGGGCAAGGCCATTTCCTGCCTCTGGGGCCCCGGTGGCAAAGCTCCACGAGGTGGGAGGGGGACGGTCCACAACAGCCTCCGAGGTCTTGGCAACGTAGTCACTCCACTTCGTTGCCCCGCCTCTGTGGGCGTGGCCTTGCTAGGACACCAGTCCTAGGGTGGGGAGTGGCCTGGGCGGGAGGTGACGGCCCCGCCCCCCGGGGAGTCACGTAGCTCTGCGGCATCTTCAGCCTCATTTACTGGAGCCGGGGCTAAAGCCACAGCTGTTGCAGACTTGAACCCAAGCTGTTCCTGTGCTGCTGCCACTAACTCGCTGTTCACAGGTGAGGCCGGGGCGAGGCGGGAGCTGCTCAGCATCTCTGCTTTCTCTTCCTGACTCTTCTTCTTGCCATCCTTGCCCTGCTCCCTGGGGCCCTTGGATGTGCCATCTCAGTTCTCTCCTTACATCCTCTCTCCTTTCTGTCCACTCAAAATCCATGGTTCAGACCTCTCGCAACACCCCTTCCGCTCAGCTCTTACGCTGAGACCTGAGTTTTTCCAATCCCAGATCTTCCACTGCCTACTGTTTTTATTCTTGGGGTCAGCCTCTTACACCAAGACCATTTAAATCTCATCTGCTCTCTCTCCTCGGCTGAGTTCCCTCCACAGTTTTTTTTGCATTCTCTATCCCCCTGGTCTAGGTCCTTTTCCTTGACTAGTTAGCCTGTGTAACTATCACCACCCAACAAATCTCCTGCCATCTCCTCCATCTCTCCCTTCCTTTCTCAGCCTTTCCGCTCATTCCTTTCAATCTTCGTCCTCTGCTCCCATCTGGAAAACAAGTTTTGTTTTGTTTTGTTTTTTAAATCCTCACCCAAGGATATTTTTCCACCTATCTTCAGATAGAGTGGGAGGGAGGGAGAGAGAAAGAGAAACATTGATGTGAGAGATACACCAACTGGTTGCCTCCTGTACAACCCCAACCAGGGCTGGAGACTGAATTGCAACCGAGGTACCTTTGACCACAATCGAACCCGGAGAGAGAAAGAGAAACATTGATGTGAGAGAGAGACACCAACTGGTTGCCTCCTGCACAAACCTGACCAGGGCTGGGGACTGAATTGCAACCGAGGTACCCTTGACCACAATCGAACCCGTGACTCTTTGGTCCGCAGGCCAACACTCTAACCACTAAGCCAAACCAGCCAGGGCTGGAAAACAAGTTTTAGAAGCCTGCCCCTCCTACTCCCTATCTGCCCCTCTCCTTTCAACCTTTTCCTCCACAAGCCAAGGGAAGAAGGTTGAAGGCTTGGAAGTAAGTGCACTTTCCCTAGGGATTCTGCTGAGGGTGAGAAAAGGGAAGTTGGAAAGGTCAGGACTTATGCCTACCTGAAGAAGGGGCCAAATTCAATGAAAGAAGGATTGGCATCTTCATTTGGGCAGTAGTTTCATAAGACTTGTAGCTTCAGGGCTGCTTAACTCCCACCCCCACCCTGCATCTTTCTCCAGGGCTGGGAAGGGAGCCCATCAGAGACAAAAGGAGATGTGGGAACGGGCCCTAAGCCTGCTAGCTGTCAGATAAATTGGTGTCACTTTGGTGCGCAGGACCCATGCCAAGGACTGTTGCCCTGTTCCTATCCCCATGCTTATTGAAGGGGGTGGGGGGCCTGCCATTTGGCCCATATGGCCAGGAAAGGAAGCAGAGGAGGTAGTGGGTGGGGTCAAGCTTTTATATCTTGTCTCCATTCCAGAGAGCTGTCACCATGCCCCATTCATACCCAGCCCTTTCTGCTGAGCAGAAAAAGGAGTTGTCTGACATTGCCCTCCGGATTGTGGCTCCAGGCAAAGGCATCCTGGCCGCAGATGAGTCTGTAGGTAGGTGGGGGCCTGTGATTGGGTATGGTAGAGGTGGCCAGGAAGCCCTGGATGACCTTGTCACTCCTCTTTGTTTGCCCCCAGGTAGCATGGCCAAGCGGCTGAGCCAAATCGGGGTAGAGAACACAGAGGAGAACCGCCGTTTGTACCGCCAGGTCCTGTTCAGCGCCGATGACCGTGTGAAGAAGTGCATTGGAGGTGTCATCTTCTTTCATGAGACACTTTACCAGAAAGATGATAATGGTGTCCCTTTCGTTCGTACCATCCAGGATAAAGGCATTGTCGTTGGCATCAAGGTGCAGCCACTGGCCCTGGATGGGGACTGAGCATGGAAATAGGTGTGTGTGTATAAGGGGTGGCAAGGGGAACCCTGTGTGGGTTCAGCCTTCTGCCTATGTTTTCCCTTCAGGTTGACAAAGGTGTAGTGCCTCTAGCCGGGACTGATGGAGAAACTACCACTCAAGGTACAGGATGGGTGGGCTTCAGGACCACAGGGATGGTGGGTGGTTGATGCTGGCAAAGAAGGGCAGAGTGATAAGACTGGTACTATGTCTGCAGGGCTGGATGGGCTCTCAGAACGCTGTGCCCAGTACAAGAAGGATGGTGCCGACTTTGCCAAGTGGCGCTGTGTGCTGAAAATCAGTGAGCGCACGCCCTCAGCACTTGCTATTCTGGAAAATGCCAATGTGCTGGCCCGTTATGCCAGCATCTGCCAGCAGGTGTGTGTATACATGCGTGAGGGGTTCAGATGGGTGCCCTGAACCGGGTGGAGAGAGAACTTTCTCCCATCCTACCTACCGCCCCTGCCAAGCTATTCTTCTCTTACCTGCAGAATGGCATCGTGCCTATTGTGGAACCGGAAATTCTGCCTGATGGAGACCATGACCTCAGACGTTGTCAGTATGTCACAGAGAAGGTGAGTCCACACCTGGGCAGCTTGTTCTGATAGGGAGCTTGTTCACCACAGTCCCTGGTTCCCATGCAGGCACTTTCCTTAAGCACTTTTTTTTTTTTTTATCCTCACCCGAGGACATTTTTTCACTTTTTGTTCAGATAGAGCGGGAGGGAGAGAGAGGAAGAGAGAGAGAGAGAGAGAGAAACATCGATGTGAAGGGACACATCGAGTGGCTGCCACCCGCACGACCAACCAGGGCCGGGGACAAACTGCAACCGAGGTACTTGCCCTTAGCGGGAACCGAACCCGGGTCTCTCTGTACCGCAGGCCGACGCTCCAACCGCTGAGCCAAACCGGCTAGGGCTCCTTAAGCACTTTTTACCTGATCTTGGAACAGACCTGTGAGTCTGAGTCTGTACTGACCCTCACATGCCCACCCGCCTCTAGACAGGGAACATAGAGCAGTAAGTGGCAGGGACCCAAACCTTAGTAAACCTCTTCTGATCCTCAGGTCCTGGCTGCTGTGTATAAGGCTCTGAGTGATCATCATGTGTACCTGGAAGGGACCCTGCTGAAGCCCAACATGGTGACCCCTGGCCATGCCTGTCCTAACAAGTATAGCCCAGAGGAGGTTGCCATGGCAACGGTCACTGCCCTGCGTCGCACTGTGCCCCCAGCTGTCCCAGGTACCACCCTGCTTCCTAACCTACTCCTATCCTTTGACCCATCCTCAGGTTCTTCTGGTGGCCTTCAGGGGTCTCTCTTACCCTGCAAAACAGAGCATGACTAATCAGCTTCTCTTCTCTTCTCCTCTCTAGGAGTGACCTTCCTGTCTGGGGGTCAGAGTGAAGAAGAGGCATCACTCAACCTCAATGCTATCAACCGCTGCCCCCTTCCGAGGCCCTGGGCCCTCACCTTCTCCTATGGGCGTGCCCTGCAGGCCTCTGCACTCAATGCCTGGCGAGGGCAACAGGACAATGCTGGGGCTGCCACTGAGGAGTTCATCAAGCGGGCTGAGGTTGGGAGCTAAGGGTGGTGGTTGGGGGTGGTGATATGTAGCTAGACAGCAGGTAGCACCCAGAGACTACAGCCTTTGGCACCTGTGGGCTGGCTCAGCCTGCGTATACCTTCCCTCCTCTCACTTTTGCAGGTGAATGGGCTTGCAGCCCAGGGCAAGTATGAAGGCAGTGGAGAAGATGGAGGAACAGCAGCACAGTCCCTCTACGTTGCCAACCATGCCTACTGAGTACTCACTCCATTCCACAGTTCTTGGCCCAGCCACCTGTACCCAGTTTTGCCTGTAGTTACAGCCAGGGCCAAATAGCTTTAACAGAGCTAAGATGCCTCCATCCAGCACTGAGTCATCTTTCTTTTTTTTCTCCTCCACTTCCCTCTCCCATTGCTGCACCTGGGACCATTTGATGGGAGGGTGGGAAGCTCCTTAGGCTGAGGGCAGGAGAACTTGCTAGAAGTCAGAGCAGGATGCCCAGGTCTCCCACTGCCTTTGCCCACCCCCACAATTTACCCATGATGGGGTAGCTTCTCCTTGGGCTCTCCTTATCTGCCCTTTCTCCTGGGATCAGAGGGTAGTACATCAGACCTGACTTATGCTTTGGGTACATACCACATAGCAAATAAATGATAGCAAAACATGCTACTTTGTCTGTCTGTTTTACCCATCAAATACCCACCTCCCAGTTTCTGATCTCTGCTGACTGTTTCTGGGCCCTCTGACTGTGGAGGTGGAGAGGATGGGTTTTGAGTTTCACTGGGTTTTATGTTTATGGGGGAGAGGCACTCCCAGTCACCATTCCTCTCTCAGGCACTTGCCTGTTGCTGTCCAAAGCTGGAGCATGGCTTTATGGAGGGCTGCAAGTCTTTCCGGAATCGCCATATCAGAGGCACTATGCTGCAGCTATAGCAGGATGAGTGGTGCAAGACCTGAGCAATTCCTGAAGGCAGTTTTTGTGCAAGGCCCCAAACTGTGATAAAAGGGAATGGGAGTCTCTCACTTCTCAGCTGTGTTGAGCTTGACATTTTCTGCTAGGGGAGCCCCAGCAAGAGGAGCCCAACAAGGGAAACCCCAAGGTTTGGAAATGCCAGATGGAGCAGTGAATCTAGGAGATTCCCAAGGGTATTGCTCACTCCCATTTGGGGTAGGTGGCGGCACGGAGGGTGCCAATTTGAGGGTCTGGACAAGGGCAGACCTGGTGAGTTCTCATGATGAACTTTGACCACTTGGCTGGGGTAGGGGTAGGACAAGCACCTAGGTCTATCTGTGAAGATGAAAAAGATGAAAGAACTACTGGATATGTTCTGTGTGAACTGAGGAGGCCATGCTGTGTGTAAAGTGCACAACCAATGCTACACCCAGCTAATTATTGTAATATGGGAATGTAGGCCCAGTTTGACTTGACCCCTTATAGTAACAAAAATAGCTAATATTTATATAGTACTTACTGTGTCCCTGCCAGGCCCTATTCTAAGAATTTTATGTTTATTAACTCATTTACTATAACATACAACTCTATATAAAGTAGATACTATTACTTTCCCTATTTTAATATGAGAAAAAAAGGCACAGTGTTTAATTAACTTCTCAAGATCACTCAGGTAAAGTGATGAAGGCAGGATTTGAACCCAAATGATTAGAATACAGATTCTGTGCTCGTGAATTTTTTTTTTTCTTTATTGATGTTTAGAAAGAGAGGACGGGAGAGGGATAGAGAGACAGAAACATTGATGAGAGAGAACACTGATTGGTTGCCTCCTGCATGCCCCCTACTGGGGATTTGGCCCACAACCTGGGCATGTGCCCTCACTGGGAATCAAATCTGCAACCTCTTGGTGCATGGATTGATGCTCAACCACTTAACCACACCAGCTGGGCTGTGCTTATGAATTTTAAGTGAAGTAGTCAGACTTTTACAAGTTGGAAATGAATTTAAATGAATTTAAAAATACTGAATGAGTGCCCTGGCTGTGTAGCTCAGAGCATCATCCCAATATACCAAGGTTACAAGTTACATTCCTAGTCAGGGCACATACAAGAGTCAACCAATGGCCCTGGCCGGTGTGGTTCAATTGGTTGGGTGTCATCCTGTACACCAAAAGGTTGCCAGTTGGATTTCTGGTCAGAGTAGGTGCCTGGGTTGTAGCTGGATCCCCCAGTAGGGGGCATGCAGGAGGCAGCTGATAGATGTTTCTCTCTCACACATGGATGTTTCTGTCTCTCTCTCTAAAAACAAATGGAGTTTGGCTGTTAAAAACCAATGGAAAAAAAAATGTCCTTAGGTGAGGATTAACAACAAAAATAAAAAAAGAGTTAACCAATGAATGCATAGATACACAGAACAACAAATTGATGTTTCTCTCTTCCTCGCCCCCTCCCTTTCTCTTTCTCTAAACATCAATCAATAAATTTTAAAAAGCATCGAATGAGTTAAATAGCTAAAAAGGTACTACTAGCTTGCATCTCCATATTTGAGAGTTGAGGAGAGGGTTCCTGGAAGAGAAGCCATATGATAGAGAAGATCAATAATGATCATGATAGGTGACATTTGTGTGCTTTCTGTGTGTCAGGTTCTTTATATAAATAATCTCATTTTAGTAAATATTTCATTTTCTCAAATGAAAAACTGAGGCTTAGAGGTGCCCCTGGTCACCCAAGATTAGTACTTAACAATTGAAGTTTACATTTTTTTTTAAATCCTTACCTGGGGATATTTTTCCATTGATTTTCAGATGGAGTGAGAAGGGAGGGAAGGAGGAAAAGAAAGGGAAACATCAGGTGGACCAGGGATCTAAAAGCAACTGAGGTTCATGCCCTTGACCGAAATCGAACCCGCGGCTCTGGTCTGCGGGCCGAGGTTCTAACCACTGAGCCGAACCAGCCAGGAGAAATTCAAGTTCTTAACCCTTCGTGGGCCCTGCCCACCTTTTGCCGGCTTCTCCCGCCTTTGCGACTGGAGTGTCGCTGGCGATTGGCCATGATTGCTGCCTGGTCCCGCCTCCTCGCAGGTTTCCAATTGGGGGAGGCTTGCGCTGCTCCGCCCCACGGAGTTGTCGGAATCAAGCATGGCGGCCGCCGGGGCCGCAGCCACAGACCTAGGTGCGGTGGCATTCGGGTTGGGGCATGCGATTCGTGGATTGTGCGGGAGGAATGAGGGGGTGGGGATTGTGGTGTGTCAGAGGTCCAGCGGACTGGGGTTCGGGGGTCGATTCAGACAGGATCCTTTCAGACTTGGGCCTGGGCTGGTCGCACGGGGATCCCTACGAACGAGGGTCCAGAGCCTCTGCCTACGGGTTGCGGGGCTTCTTCGCGCCCGGGGTGGGGCCAGCGCCTACGCCCACTTCCGGCGCCTCAGGCGATACCCCTGTATCTCCAGAGGTGGTTCGAGGCAAGCGTGCCGCCCTCTTCTTCGCTGCTGTGGCCATAGTGCTGGGGCTGCCCCTCTGGTGGAAGACCACAGAAACCTACCGGGCCCCGTTGCCTTACTCCCAGATCAGTGGGCTGAATGCCCTGCAGGTGAGACCTTGATGGGGGAGGGCTAGGGGACAGCTCATCTGCAAGGTACAGACTCAGCTGATGGCCCTGATGCGCCTTCCCGCAGCTCCGGCTCATGGTTCCTGTCACTGTCGTGTTTACCCGAGACTCAGTGCCATTGGACGATCAGGAGAAGCTTCCCTTCACCGTTGTGCATGAGAGAGAGATCCCTCTGAAATGTGAGCTCCTGGGGGGCCAGGGCTGCCTTTCTGGGCTGCATAGTCCAGATATGCATTGGGTAGGAATGTGAGTGTCCCGTAAAGGTAGTTAAAAACTTAGGAAAAGGCTTCTGTGAACGAACAGTGTGTTTGGTTAGAAGAAAAGCAACATTAAATTCAGTGTTCAGCGTTAAGGCGGCAGTTTTATTTATAAAATAGTTATGTACCTGATCAGAATTAGTTGATGCTCATTAGAGGATAGGGGAGGAAGTGGGGTGTAGTGGAAAGAGGATTTGGAATCAAGTTGGACTTGTATACAGGCCTTATTCAGTTTGACATTAAACACTTCACTGAGTGTTAAGCACTTTTCTTAGGTACCAGGAATTTGGGGCTGACTGAGAAATTGATAGTGATTTAAACAATTTATAGTCAGGTAGGGGAGAAAGACATTTAAATAAAGAAATCACAGATGTATTAAGAAACAGAGATTGGACTTAAGAAAGCCTTTAATTGCCTGGGAGGAAAGAAAAGGCAGAGAAAGTTTAGAGGGATGTAATTTTTTTTTTGGTGGTACGTGCCCCTAGCAGGAACGGAAACCGGCACTCTGGTCCTCAGGCCGACGCTCAACCGCTGAGCCAAACTGGCCAGCGCGAGGGATGTAATTTTTAAGTGGGGTTTTTACAGGATGTGTGGAAATTCAGGTTAAATTGGGAGGCGGGGGAATAGCATGAGCCAGTAATAATGCTTGCTAATGTTAGTTGTTTTTCACTATATGCCAAAAACTAGGTGAAGCACTTTACATGTGTTGCCTCGTTTTACTCTCTCTTACATTATGACCCCCACTTTATAAATAAATAGAAAAGACAAAAACAAATAACAACAGACTTAGAGATTTTAATTTGTTTAAGATCACACAGCTAGCTAATAAGAGGTAGGACTGGGATTTAAATCCAGGCCTAATTCCAGTGTTCAAGCTTTTCACCAACAAGCTATGCTGGCTGCCTCCTGTGTAAAAGCATGGAGGGATAAAGTAGCATACTGGGGGTGGGGAGAGTCCATGAGCAGTTTTATCTGTCTGCACTGTGAAGTGAGAGATTGAGAGTGACAGGAGATGTAGGCTTAGTCCAGACCACGAAGTGCCTGTGTATCATTTACTTTTTTGCTATTTAACCTTGGTCACACATATTTTAAAAATTTATTTCATATGGTTCAACCTGATGTACACACATATACTTTTTCTTTCTCAAAACAAAATTGGATTATACCTCACATGTTAGTTTGTACCTTGATTATTGTCAATTTCTCATGGACTTGTTCACAGTGACACAGTATTCAATAGTGGAGTGGCTAGGAGTATGGAATTTTGGTATAAGAGAGCTATACGAAAGCCTTGGTTCTGCCACTTATTTGTGTGAATTTAGGTGAGGTTGTTAACCTCTGTAAACCTTGGTTTTCTCATCCGTTAAATAGGGATAGTAATAGGGTTGTTCATTTAGTCAATAAATATGTATTGAGTACCCATGTCAGTTACTGTTGCTAGAGATACAGCAGTGAACAAAGGAGACAAAAAAGAGGAGAACAGACAATTAAAAAGATAAACGTGAAATATATGTTAGATGGCGATAGGGCTAAAATAGAGTAGAGCAATGAGATAGGAGGTTTTATGGGGGGGATGGGGAGGTCATTGCCATTTTAGGTAGGGTGGACAGGGGAAGCATCATTTGAAAACAGGACGTTTGAGTAGGACCTAAAAGATATAAGAGGTGAAGGAGTAAATTGTGTAGATATCTGGGAGAAGAGTATTTTGGCAGAGAGTAAAACAAGTTTAAGGTTCTGAGGTAGAAGCAGGGACAGTGCTCTCTTTGCAGAACAGTAAGAATCCCATGGTGCCCAGAATGAGGTGAATGAGGGACAGTGTAAGGAAATGAAATAAAACTAGAGTGACAAAAGTGGTCCAGACTCACATATAGTTTTTATTCTGGATGAGAAGGGAAGCCATTGATTGAAGACTTTTTTTTTTAAAACGTTATTATACCTAACCAAGTTAGCAATAATCCTTAATATCACCTGATTCCTAGTGTATAGTAAGATTACCCCAGTTATCTCAAAGGTGTCCTTTATAGCTGGTTTAGACTAATCAGGATCCATACATTAAATTTTGTTAAACTTCATTTGTCTCTTTTATTATATATCAATTCCCCCTATCCTATCCTGATACACTTCTTTGCATTGATTTGTTGGAGAAACCACATCATTTGTTTTATAAAACATCTCACATTCGGGATTTGGCAGACTGCTTTCTTCTAATTTCATTTAACTTATTCCTCTATTATCCATATTCCTTATAAACTGGTAGTTAGATCTAGAGATTTGATTAAAATCAGGTTCAGTTTTTTGGGCAAGTGTACTTCATAATTAGTATGGTCTACTTACTATCATGTTAGATCATAAAGCATGTAATGGCTTGTTGTTTCACTTTTGGTGATACAAAGATGATTTAGTGAGTTCAAGTATTGTCAGCTTGATTTCTGTATTTTAGTCCTGCCAACCTTTCACCTGATGGTTTTAACTTTCATTGATGCTGGAATCCATTTCATTATCAGTTACAAAATGTCTTTTTTTTTTTTTTAAATCCTATCATGTCTTCTACATATATAACCTGGAATTCTATAAAGAATTTTCCCAATACATTTTAGTTTCGATTTTTCAAGTTCCAGGGGGTGAAAAAAAAATCGCTTTGGGATTGCCTTTTATATATAGATTAACTTGGGGAAAATTGACATACTTTGAATTTTTAATCTTAAGAGCCTTGTATGCATTTTCCTTTTTATCAGATCTTTTATGTCTTTCAGTAAAGTCCTGGGTTTTTTTCCTTATAGTTTTGTACATTCATTCCTGAGTATCTTTATATATTTAATTGTTATTGCGATTGGGATTTCTAAAAATACTTGCTTTTCTAATTAGATGTTGCTGGTATTTATCAGTTATTGATTCTTATGTATTCTCTTATCTAGTCATCTCACTGAACTGTTACTAGTTCTAATAGTTTTTTTTTTGTTGTTGTTTTTTTTTTTTGTTTTTTTTTATCCTCACCCGAGGATATTTTTCCATTTTTTGTACAGATAGAGTGGGAGGGAGAGAGAGAGAGAAACATCGATGTGAAGGGACACATCGAGTGGCTGCCACCCACACGACCAACCAGGGCCGGGGACAAACTGCAACCGAAGTACGTGCCCTTAGCGGGAACCGAACCCGGGTCTCTCCGGACCGCAGGCCAATGCTCTAACCGCTGAGCCAAACTGGCCAGGGCCTAGTTCTAATAGTTTTTCAAGTGATGCTCTTTGATTTTCTTGGAAAATAACTATACTGCTTCAAAAAGTGGCCATTTTGTCTCTTCAAATATTCATGTTTTATTTCTCTTTCTTATTCCATTGGTCAGGAACTTCAGAAAGAACAGTGCTGAATAATAGCGGAACTAGCAGGCATCCTCATTTTATTACTAATTTCAGTGGAACTTTATTTAGTATTTTTTATTAAGTATATATTTATTTTTATCAATAATGTGCATGAATTTAATTACTTTGAGGTACCTATTAAAATGGTCATATGGCCCGACTAGTGTGGTTCAGTGGATTGAGCGCCAGCCTATGGACTTAGAGGTCCAGGTTCGATTCCCAGTCAGGGCACATGCCCCAGTTGCAGGCTCAGTACCCAGTTGGGGGCGTGCAGGAGGCAGCTGATCAATGTTTCTATCTCTTTCCTTAAAAAAACAAACAAAAACAAAACACAGCCCTGGCTGGTTTGGCTTAGCGGTTAGAGCTTTGGCCCGCAGTCCAGAGAGACCCGGGTTCAGTTCCCGCTAAGGGCACATACCTCGGTTGCAGTTTGTCCCCGGTCCCAGTTGGGGTGCGGGAGGCGGCCACTCGATGTGTCGCTTTCATGTCATTGTTTCCCTCTGTCTCTCTTCCTCTCTCTCCTCCCACTCTATCTAAAACAAAAATGGAAAAATGTCCTTGGGTGAGGATAAAAATAAAAAATAAGCCCGGCTGGTGTGGCTCATTGGTTGAGCATCGACCCATGCACCAAGAGGTCACCGGTTCAATTCCCAGTCAGGGCACATGCCCAAGTTGTGGGCCAAATCCCCAGTTGGGGGCATGCAGGGGGCAGCCAATTAATGTTCTCTTTCATTGATATTTCTATCTCTCTCTCCCTCTCCCTTACTCTCTCTCTAAAATCAAAAAGAAAAAAAGAAAAAATAAATAAATAAAAAACAGATAAAAAATAAATAAAATGGTCATATGACTTTTCTCCTTTCACTTATTTGTGTAATGAATATTGTAATAGGTTTCCCTGTGGGAGAGTACTTCAAGTTGAAGGCAGTGTGTACATGGGCAGAGGCAAGAGCTGGGCAGGTGGAAGAGATGGAGTATCACGTGTTTGATATCATCCATGCAGAAATCATTAGAATTGGCTGTAGTTTCTTGGTCTTTCTCTGCAAACAATCATATTGCTGTCCTCAGACAATGGAAAGTATTAGGGTTAGGACGGGGGCAGATGTCTGACACTTGCCCTTCCTGTCATGCTGCTTCTTTTTTTTCAGACAAAATGAAAATCAAATGCCGCTTTCAGAAGGCCTATCGGAGGGCTTTGGACCATGAGGAAGAGGCCTTGTCATTGGGCAGTATGCAAGGTACTGGAGGGGAAGATCACACCATTTAACCTGAAGCCCTGTTTTCCCTTCTGATCCCTAAAGGTATAGTTTTCATACCTTGTCTTAAATCCAAAATCTCTTTGGGGGAGCTGTGAATGAGATGTGTTTCAGCTTGGGCCACTGAGGGCCAAGCCTGCCCACAGTGTCAGCTTGGTGTCAGTGGGAGGTGGAGGGGTGGCTTAGGCAGGCACTCTGTGGGGGCCTGAGCGGGAGGGAATGATGTTTTTGCTCCTGGTGCACCACCTGCTCTTGTCCCCAGAGGCAGAAACAATGTTAGCTGAGCCACAGGAGCAAGCAGAGGGCTCCCTGACTGTGTACGTGATCTCTGAACACTCCGCACTTCTCCCCCAGGTAGGATGAACAGAGAGACGGTGGCCTTGCTAATTCTGTCAGCTCTTCCTCTCCCTGGTCGCCTCCTTCTTGTAGTATTACTGCCCATTTCTTCCATTTGCTGTGGAAAACTCTCCAAATAATTTTTTTAAAGAATGCAAATAGGAATTTGTTTCATTGACTCTGGTTTTCTAAATCAAAGACTTGTATATGGTAAAATTTCAATGATCATTTAAGTGGAAAAATAATCAGGAATAAAAGGAAGAAGCTGGGCCCTGGCCGGTTTGGCTCAGCGGTTAGAGCGTCGGCCTGTGGTCCAGAGAGACCCAGGTTCGGTTCCCACTAAGGGCACGTACCTCGGTTGCATTTTGTCCCTGGCCCTGGTTGGGTTGTGTGGGTGGCAACCACTTGATGTGTCCCTTTCACATCGATGTTTCTCTCTCTCTTCCTCTCTTTCGCTTCCACTCTATCTGAACAAAATATTGAAAAAATGTCCTCGGTGAGGGAAAAAAAAAGAAAGAAGCTGGTTTGTGATGGTAATATGGGCAATGTGTTGACTTTTTCATGAACAAAAGGCTTTAATGGAAGTTATACTATGTGCCATTTTCTTTATGAATTTATAGTGAGATTTTTTTTTGATGTATCAAAATTTATTTAACCCATCTTCTTACAACACTTACATTGTCTCAGTATTCACAATTAATGCTATAATACATTTCATCAAACACATATGTCAAGAACATGTTGGATAATACATAGAGGTGGAATTGCTGGTTCAAAGTGTGATGAGATATTTAAAATTTTTATTTATTGATTGATTTTAGAGATAGAGGGGAAGGGGGAGAGAGAGACGGATATTGACTTATTGTTCCACTTATTTGTGTATGCATTGGTTGATTCTTTTTTTTCTTTATTGATTTTAGAGAAAGAGGAAAGGAGAGGGAAAGAGAGAAACATCGATGAGAGAGAACATCAATTGGCCGCCTCCTGCATACCCCACTGGGGATTTGGCCAACAACCTGGGCATGTGCCCTGACTCGGGATTAAACCTGCAACCTTGGCATATGGAATGATTCTCTAACTACTGAGCTCCTCGGCCAGGGCTATAATGAAATATTTAATTCTTATAAAAAGAGGAAGGAGCCCTGACTGGTTTGCTCAGTGGTTAGAGTGTTGGCCCATGGACCAATGAGTCATGGGTTTGATTCCAGTCAAGGTCACATACCTTGATTTTGGTTCGTTCCGGGCCCCGGTTGGGTCATACTAGAGGCAACCACTCAATGTGTCTCTTTCACGTTGATGTTTCTCTCTCTCTCTCTCCCCCTCCCTCCCACTCTATCTGAAGATAAATAGAAAAATATCCTTGGGTGAGGATTAATAAAAAAAAAGAGGAAAGAAAATTTTAACAAACATCTATGTACCCAGCTTCAGTTTATAATAATGTAGCAATATAATTGCAGCCCCATGTATCTCCGTGGTTACATCCCAAGGTCCTTTCAGCCCAAGGTGATCATATTTTATAATATAATTTTCTTACTTTTCTTTCAACTTTTGTCACATATGTTGTATCTCTATAAGCAATATATTTAATTTTACATATTTTTGAACTTTATATAAATGGTATAGTACAATAAATAATACTTTCATTTTGTTCAACATTTATGTTTGAGAGAATCATCCATGGTAATATGTGTAGCTGAATCTAATGCATTCATTTTGAATTCTGTCTAATGTTTTATTGTATAAAATATCAGTTTATCCATTCTGCTGCTGATGGGCATATGGATTATCTCCAGTTTTTTTTTTTTAATTTTTTTATTATTATTATTTTTTATCATCCTCACCCGAGGACATTTTTCCATTCTTTGTACAGATAGAGTGGGAGGGAGAGAGAGGAACAGAGAGAGAGAGAAACATCGATGTGAAAGGGACACATCGAGTGGTCGCCACCCGCACAACCAACCAGGGCTGGGGACAAACTGCAACCGAGGTACATGCCCTTAGCGGGAACCGAACCCGGGTCTCTCCGGACCGCAGGCCGATGCTCTAACCGCTGAGCCAAACCGGCCAGGGCTATCTCCAGTTTTTTATTACAAGTAAGGCTGCTGTGAAAATTATTGTATTTGCCTCTTTGCCATGTGCCATTTACTTAGAGCAAACTCTGCAGTTGTTTGCTTACAGTATTTTGCTTTTCTTGTTCAGCATACCATCTCTTAGTTTCCAGCCTGTGAAGATTTAGGTATTCCCTGGAACTATGTCTACTGGGAAGGAGAAGGGAACTGAAATGAATGAAGCCACTGACATACACCCATAGCTCAGAAATGCTGAGATAACAGTTCACTATGAATCTAAAGAGAGGTGCCTGTTGGTCAGTGCAAAAGGCAGATTCTCAGAATCAGGAGACAGAGTGCTCTTCTGCTTTCTTCCCTGAGCCACCGGCATTCTGTTCCTTGCTTGCCCCTCATAGGACATGATGAGCTACATTGGGCCTAAGAGGACAGCAGTCGTGAGGGGAATATTGCACCGGGAAGCTTTTAACATCATTGGCCGCCGCATAATCCAAGTAGCCCAGGCCATGTCTTTAACTGAGGATGTGCTTGCTGCCGCCCTGGCTGACCACCTTCCAGAGGACAAGTGGAGCTCTGATAAGAGGCGGCCTCTCAAGTCCAGCTTGGGTAGGGTGACCAGGCTTTGCTATGGGAAGGGAGAGGGAAATGAATTATGTGGAGGCATTGGGGCAGGAGGAGAATCTGCATGCAAACTTTCCTTCTTCTGTGGTTGCAACTTTTTGTTTAAGTGCTCAGTGTTCCTCACCCCAGTGTTGTCCTCTAACTGGTTCCATGATGGCAGTCAGCCCCATTCTAGAGGAGAAACAAATTCAGCTCAGCCAGGGGTACAGGCTGCCCCTCATCCACGGAAGCCTCTGGATTCCTTGACTTCTGTTTCCATAGGCTATGAGATCACCTTCAGTTTACTCAACCCAGACCCCAAGTCCCACGACGTCCACTGGGACATCGAGGGAGCTGTCCGACACTATGTGCAGCCCTTCCTGAACGCCCTCAGTGTTGCTGGCAACTTCTCTGTGGACTCTCAGGTGAGATTGCGAGCAAGTTGAGGGGTCCTTTCCCTGGCTGCATCATCCTTTTCAAAGTTTATCTATGTTTAGTGTTTACAAGTGTAGTCTGTTCTTCTAGCTCTTTGGGCCTGCTGATTTGCTAGGAATTTCCTTTGTATGTATAAGGTTCCGGTATCGACTTTCTCTCCTGTGTACAGCCCGGGGTTTCATCAGTGCCTGTTAAAAAAACTAACTTTTGCCCTGGCCAGTTTGGCTCAGCAGTTAGAGCATCGGCCCGTGGACCAAGGAGTTGTGGGTTTGATTCCGATCAAGGGCACGTACCTTGGTTGCTGTTCGTTCCTGGCCCTGGTCAGGGTCATGCGGGAGGCAGTCAGTCGATGTGTCTCTCACATCAATGTTTCTCTCTCTCTCTCCCTCCTGCTCTATCTGAAGATAAATAGAAAAAAAATATATATCCTTGGGTGAGGATAAAAAAAACTAACTTCCTTATGGCTGTCTCCAGAACTGTATTCACCAGTTGTACTGTCCTTAAAGAATTTATTTAAACAACAATAAAACACTTCCCAAAATATGTTAATGTAGTAACAATAGAGATGTGAAGAATGTAGCTTTCTGTATCATACAATGTCCTTTGAGGGTAAATGTGAGAGAAATTTGTATTAGGTCTTGGTAGTGGGAGTAATTACTTCTGAATAACTGACTTGATTTGACCTTCTGGACACTGAATTATGCTATTCTTTGTTTCCTTCTTTGTTTAGGCTGAGAAAGCCTGGGAAAATACGTGGTTTTCAAAGAATATATTTGATATTTTAACTTTACCCTTGGCTTTGATATTTTTTTCCTACACCTATTTTCTCTCAGCCCTCATTTTGTCTCTGATATTTCATCCTGTCATAATTGTATCCTTTTAAGGATACAATTCTTTTAAGGATACAATACCTCAAATCTTTTTTGGGATAAAGTGGAATATAAATCAATAAACAAAATAATGTCCTCCCTCTTTGTTCTCTAGATCCTTTACTATGCAGTGTTGGGGGTAAACCCCCGCTTTGACCCAGCTTCCTCCAGCTACTACCTGGCCGCACATAGCCTTCCCCATGTCATCAATCCAGTGGAGTCCCGCCTAGGTGAGCGCCTGAGGTGCAGGGCCAGTCCAGGGAGGGACCCGGAAGGCTCCGCCTGGGGTTGGAGGCAGGTTGTATATAGCGATGGTTCTCAGGTTGGGTTGGTCTGAGGATGTTGAGGAAGTGTTGGGCACTTAGGCTCCTTTGTCATGATACTCTGTTGACATCTCCATCACCACACTATCATATCCAAAAGCATTTATTAAACATATTTCCCAGCACTTTTTATAAATGAACGGGTAGGATGTGTCTCTCTCCCTGCAAGCCATCCAGGAAAGATAAGGTCACACATGAAGGAAAGATAACAACAAAAGTACATGAAGGCAGAATGAGTAACCTTGAAGCTAGGAATCCAGTTTTTGATTTTTGGGGTGGTACCTAGGAAAAGTAGGTGTGACCAACAACTGCAATACAGGCAAACCAAAACGAATGTATCGTTAGTTGTGGAATTTGCGACTTCAGGGCTAGGCCAGGGTGGACCAAGGGGCATGAGAGAGGCAGCACGGAAGGCCGTGGCAAATTCTTCCTCTGTCTTCATTCAGCAGATGAAGTCCGGGGGACTGCTTTATGGCAGTGCTGAGTACAGATAGATGGCATTTCAGGCAAGGGAACAATGAGCTTAGATGTAGAAGAGTAAGAGCACGTAGACCTTCAGGAAATTCAAAGAAGCTTAATGTGGCCGAATTCTGAGAAGGTGACTAAAATGATGTTGACAGGGCAGGCCGGCAGGCATCAGATCATAAAGGACCACATTGAGGAGTCTGAACTTTAACCTGGTGTGAATGACTAGCCATTGAAAGATACCAAGCAGGGAACTGACGTGAGGTCACATTTACACTTGTGCATAAAACGAGTTCTGGTGACACGAGTGCAATGTGGCAGTAGCCATGAGAGCTGACTTAGACAGTTAAGGGAGGCCTTCTAGAGGAGGGGAGATACCAAGGACTGCACTTGTACATGGTACACCTTGGGAGAATGTTCAGAGGTTCTTTGCCACAGAAACCCAGGACGGGAGGATATTCTTGTGATTATCAATTGGGAAAAATGAGGCCCAGAGTGACCAGCAAGTTAGAGGCTGACCTGGAACTAAGATCTAGATCTAGGGAGTTTTGATATTCTGACTCCTCTTCTCTTTATACCACAGGTTCCAGTGCTGCCTCCCTTTACCCTGTGCTCAACTTTCTACTCTATGTACCTGAGCTTGCCCACTCCCCACTGTACATTCAGGACAAGGATGGGGCTCCGGTGGCCACCAACGCCTTCCATAGTCCCCGCTGGGGTGGCATTATGGTAATGGTCACATTATGCAGACCCCAGAACCCAGGCTTCAGGACAGACAGATACTCCCTGAGACTGTTCTGCTGTTGTTTCTCTGGTGTCCTCCATGGCCCAGTCTGTGAGAAGGCACCAAGGACGGGAGGGTGCTGTGAGCTCATGCCTCTCCTCTGCCAGCCCCACTGCTTTTTACTTTGTCAGTATTTCCTATGATATGACCCTTTTGCGTGTAGCACTTTGCACTTACTGAGGACTCTTCTTTGTACATCTTAGATCCTGGACCTATCTGTGAGAGTCTTGCAAAGTTGGAACTTTGTCTTCCCTATTAGACTGGGAGTTTCTGAAAGCTGGAATAAAAAATATTTCTTTTACAGGATTTTTGAGGAGGTAATGGATAATTTATGGAAAGCTCCTAATAGGTATTCAAAAAAAATATCAGCTATACCATCAGATTTGTAATTTCTAAAGAGCACGGAATATATCTTCCTTTTCTCTCACGGCCTCCCAAGTGTCTAGGGCACAGCTGTGTATGGTTCTGGCATGATGTTGAGGCCACCTCATTTCCCCTTGCAGGTGTATAATGTGGACCCCAAAGCCTACAATGTCTCGGAGCTGCCAGTGCGAGTGGAGGTGGACATGGTGCGAGTGATGGAGGTGTTCCTGGCTCAGTTGCGGTGAGGTCCTACGTGATCCACCTGGGGACCTGGTCCCTGACTCTGACTCTGGGCTGACTGGAATAAAATCTCACCTGACAGGGATATTTGGCTGTGCTTTGAGCCCTAGGAAACCAAGAAAGGTTTCTAAGGATCACTTCATCCTTCTAAGAAGAACTAGTTGTTGACAAAAACTTTTAAGAAAAATAGACTCATGAATGTCAGGTCAATGGGGTGTGATTAGGGGTGCTTAAGAAAATAGCTGTTAATTTATGTGCTAACGGATATATTGATAGTGGCTGCCTGATGCCCTACGTTGAGGATTCTTTGGGCTCATCAGGAAAGAGGATTCTGATTGATTCGCAATGTCTGCTATGGGTGCAGGATTGGAAAGGCACATCTTGTCAGAGGTGGTCTTGGATCATCCCTTAACTCAGGCTTAGTGGCCCCATTTGTCCAAAGAGCGAGTAGACAGTGTGAGAGGATTAAACTAAGTTGGTGTTATTGAAAATATTTTAATCATGGAACCTTTTGTCAAACAAGATCTTAGAAGTCCAATATAGAAGCAGTTAAAAGCTAAAACACTGCCCTGGCCGGTTTGGCTCAGCGGTTAGAGTGTCTGCCTGCGGTCTGGAGAGACCCGGGTTCAGTTCCCGCTAAGGGCATGTACCTCAGTTGCAGTTTGTCCCCGGCCCTGGTTGGTCGTGTGGGTGGCAGCCACTCGATGTGTCCCTTTCACATCGATGTTTCTCTCTCTCTCTCTCCCTCCTGCTCTATCTGAACAAAGAATGAAAAAGTGTCCTCGGGTGAGGATAAAAAATAAATTAAAAAAAAAAAAAAAAGCTAAAACACTGGTGAAAGCCAAAACCCAAGACCCAGAGGCACTTTCCTGCCACCCCTGTGGGTCTGGGTAAAATTGAAAACCTTAGTTATTCTAGGAATCTTAGCCAACTTCTCCCACTTTCTAGTCTCAGCCCCTTTGACCTTTGCTATTCCTACAGGCTGCTCTTCGGGATTGCTCAGCCCCGGGTGCCTCCAAAATGCCTGTTTTCCAGGCCTAAGAGTGAAGGGCTGATGACTTGGGAGCTAGACCGGCTGCTCTGGGCTCGGTCGGTGGAGAACCTGGCCACAGCCACGACCACTCTCACTTCCCTGGCCCAGCTTCTGGGCAAGATCGGCAACATTGTCATTAAGGACGATGTGGCATCTGAGGTAAGTGGGCAGGAGATGGGTTCCATGGCCCAGGATTGGAATGGCCATTGAGGACCAGGGTGTGGTGAAACTAGAGCCAGATGAAGTCCAGGGTATGTGTGGGCATGCCAGCCTTGAATGCCCCAGCCTTCTTGAAGGCAGTGCCAGCCTCCAGCAGAAGTCCAGATTGGGGGGAATGTGAGGTTTTGAGCAGGCACTAAGAAAGTACACCATAACCCTTTAATACTAGCCTCTGTATATCCTGGGCGAACTCCAGGCAACCTATCTGGTAGATGGAAGACGCAGTAAAGCTTGTTACCCCCCTACCCGCCTTCATCAGTGCCTAGGACTAATTGCTAATCCCCTGCCCCTTCTAGGTGTACAGGGCTGTAGCTGCAGTCCAGAAGGCAGCGGAGGAGTTGGCTTCTGGACACCTGGCCTCTGCCTTTGTTGCCAGCCAGGAAGCTGTGACATCTTCGGAGCGTGCCTTTTTTGATCCCTCGCTCCTCCACCTTCTCTATTTTCCTGATGACCAGAAGTTTGCCATCTACATCCCCCTCTTCCTGCCTATGGCTGTGCCCATCCTCCTGTCTCTGGTCAAGATCTTCCTGGAGACTCGCAAGTCCTGGAAAAAGCCTGAGAAGATAGACTGAGCGGGGCAGCATCTCAGTAGAAGCCTTCCTTTCTGGCCAGGGTGGGAGGTGTCTGTCTCCAGCCTCCTCTGCTGCCTCTCCAGTAACCAAAGTGTTATACTCCAAGATGGGTTCATCTTTCATTCTCTTCCCATTTCTCTGGCTGAGGTGTCCCACCCCCATCCTTACAAGATGCATCATCTAGGTCTCCTTGAACTTGAAGTCCCTTTGCCTTCGGCGGCAAAGGCTGCTTATACTTCTGCCCTGTTTCTCACAGTCTTGCACTGAGAGGGAGCATTAGGAGAAAGCCCTGGGTTGTTTTCTAGCCCCTTGCCTTCCACACTTTTCCCTACCCCTCAGGAAGAGCCCCAGCAATGCTGTCATGGAAGGGGCCAGGCACAGGTCACCTTTGGGGCCTTCTGCCTTGCTCTCCTCCCTCCTGACTAGTTATGCCTGTTAGTACAGCCTGATGCTGTGTGTGTGCCAGAGGTTCCCTTCACCCTTTCATAGAGGCAGTATGGTATAGTGAGAAAGTTCCAGACTTGGGATCAGACATGCTTGAATTCAAACCCTGGTTTCTGCACTTATATGGGGAGCTCTGAATAAGCTACTTAATCTCTCTGAGCCTCAGTTTTTTACTTGTTAAAATAGCACTAATGATAACTCCCTTATAAGGTGGTGGTGAAGAGTAAATGTGATAAGCATTAGAAAGTGTCTGGCATATTCTAGGCTCTCAATAAACATTGAATGTGAATTGGAATGATATGAAGTATGAGCATAGCTTTTGTTCTTCATTCATGTGTAAGTAATGGTTTCCTAGGGTCTGTCCTCACAGGGCCACTTTGCTTTCACCTGGTCGTGTGCCCTTCTTGCCTCCCTGTCCTGGGGGGGGTCCTGTGGTGGCTTAGACAAACAACTAGGCAGTTGTCCCTCTGCATGTCCTGGTTTGCCCAAGTCTGACATCTCCTTCTGCTTTTTAGCAGGGGGTCTGGGAGAGAATGGCTTATACCAGTGTAAGACCTTAGATACTAATTAATAAATAATAATAAAAAAGAATACATTGCCCTGGCCGGGTAGCTCAGTTAGTTAGAGTGTTCAATGTGCCAAAATTGAGTGTTCGATCCTGGGTCAGGGCACATACAAGGATCAACCAGTGAATATATAAATAAGTGGAACAACAAATCAGTGTTTCTCTCGTGCGCGCTCTCTCTTTCCCTTCCTTTCTCTAAAAGTCATTTTTAAAAAATGTAAAAAAGAATATATTGAGCATGAGTACTGTACCAGGTGGTGGGGTGTTACAGAGAACAAAAACAAGGTCCCTGCTTTCCTACAATTGTTCTTTTAGGGGGAGTCAGTGAACAAATCAAACTAATTTCGGATAATGCATTAGAAAGAAAAGCCAGGCGGATCAGATAGTGACTGGGGTTAGTATTTTGGATTGGGTGTGAGGTAAGGTCTTTGGGCAGACGACATTTGAGCTGAGACCAGAAGGACAAGAAGAGGCCCCTTGGGGGAACGGTTTCCTAGGCAAAGACTCTGAGATGGGAACTCGCTTGAGGGGCAAAGGGAAGGGCAGAGTGGCGGGAGCACAGGAAAGGTAGACAGGACCCTTGGAAAAAGTGAGTGAAACCCAGGGTGAGCTCCCACCCTGCCCTGGGTGAGTAGCCCTGGTCCGCGCCTCTACAGCCATTCGGCTGGGGTGGGCTGGTGGTGGGCGGGTCCAGGGGCGGGCACACCTCAGGGGCGGGGCGGGGCGGTACCTGGGTCCTTGGCTCCCTGGCTGGGGGTGGGGCTGCGGACGCTCCCCCTTCTCGGCTCCAGCCGGCTCTGGCAGCCGCAGCGGCAGCAGGCGATCCGCCGCCCTGCGAGGCCATGAAGGTGAAGAAGGGCGGCGGCGGGGCCGGGACGGGGGCGGAGCCCGCTCCTGGGGCCTCCGGCCTGAGCGTGGAGCCAAAGCCGGAGCAGCAGCTGCAGGCAGAATCCGAATCCGGGTCCGAGTCGGAACCGGAGGCAGGCCTAGGGCCCAGGCCGGGGCCGCTGCAGAGGAGGCAACCGATCGGGCCGGAGGACGTGCTGAGGCTCCAGCGGATCACTGGCGGTGAGCACCGGCGAGGGAGCGCCGCCCGCGGGGAGGCAGGGGGCCTTGCCAAGAGCGAAGCCGCGGCCCCCGCCCCCTTCCTCACCCTCTCCTGCCTCTCCTCCCCCACCGGGTACCCCTCGCTTGAGTCCCCTGTCTTCTGCCTCCAATCCTGAGATCTCCATGTCCCCCCTTCCCCTGATCTGTGCCCCCTCCTATCCCTTTGGAGATTTTTTTCTACCCCACTCCTTACTTTTTGAGTCCATTCCTCTTTTTTGTGGTGGAGGTGAGGCAGCAGCTGCAACTGTGACCCCTTCCCATGTAGTTTTTAGAGCCCTTTGAGTCCTTTCTCTGCAATAATGGGGAGGAAGGCTGAGGGCAGTCTGTCCTCAGTCCCCAGCCTGGAGGCTAGGTAGAGGCTGAGTTATTTAGGTGGCATTAAGACCCTCAGGTTTCCCTGACAATTAATGCCCTCACCCTGGATCCCCCAGGAAGTCTGGAGCCATCCCCCTCCCCAGGAAAGGACCTGAGCAGGAAGCTTCAGTGGGTTGGGTCTGGACCCTCTTAAAGGACTAGGTTAATGCCCCCCATGCACACCCCAGCCTAAACTAGGGCCAGTCCCCTTCCTGAAGGGCCTAGAGATCTCCACTGTGGTTGAGTTTCTGAGCTGGACTGTCTGGGTTGTCCCAGCTTTGCCATGTAATTGACTGTGTGGCTTTCGGCAAGTAGCTTCACCTCTCTGAGCATGTTCATCTGTACAAGGGGGATAATGACACCTATCTTTTAGGGCTATTGTGAAAATAAATTCTCTGATTTTGCACAGTGCCTGGCATGCTTTGCATGCTCTGTAAATAGGGCTCTTTTATGAGTAGAATGAGGGTCCCACAGGACTGCTGATGGCTGCTGCCTGGAAGCAGACAACTGGGCATTCAGAGCAGGAGAGGGGGTCACCATAGGCAGGGAACAAGGACTAGGAAGCCTCATGGCAGAAGTGGTGGCTGAGCCTCAAAGAAGAGAAGGCATTTGGAGAGGCAGTGACCTTCTCCTCTGGCCTCATTCATCAGTAACCCTGCCCTGGCTCCCTCTGTGAGCAACTCTTGAGGCCTCTCTGTGAGGGTGGGGGCTGCAGGTACTAGTGGATCTGAACTCTGGAGCTGTAGAAGCAGCAGAGCCCATGGCTGCCAGACAGCCGAGGAAGGGACCATGATGGCAGGTCTAGGCCTGTACATCTGGGTCCCTAGGGGACCAGCTTCTCTTTCCTCTCTGAGCCAGGCAGCAGCCATTCTTGGCAGGGCCCCCAGAGTGCTGAGCTGCCTTGCCCAAACAGGTACTTGTAGTGCGAGGGGGTCTGGACCAGTCTGATGTTGGTGCCAATTGGGCTATAATTGGCAACAGCAGCATTTAGGATTCAGGTTAGCTCTGGGACAGAACTTCCTTATAGGATGTCTGGAGGTCAGGATGATCTGTCCAGGTCCTAGGTAACTTTAGAGGTTATTTTGCACTTATTGGGCAGGGGGATCCAGCCCATATACTACCATTTGTCTCCTAATTTGAAGGAATTCATAACCCTTAGAGATGGGGCATCTGGGGGGAGGGGGAGGGGAGGGGCTTCATGGGAGCTCTTTCCTCTCTAGAAGTTGAGAACAGGGTGCCAGGGCTTTCCATCCTGGCACCTCCTGGTCTCTCCTGACCCTAATCACATAGGTCTGAGGTTTGTTCCTCCTGGATTACTGTCCCCTGAATCCAGCTTAGGAAGCTATTTGTGGCTGAGGGGAAGGAAGCAGTTGTGTTCTGAGCCCTCGGCCACTCTTCCCCCTGGCCTGACCCTGGGTCCAAGGCCTGGTCCTTCCCTGGCAGAAGGGAGGGAGTGGCTGTGGTGTCCTGAGCCACTGGCATCCCCTGTTCCTCTCTTCCTCTAAGGATAGAGGAGTTGATAGATTGAATTTGCAGTAGAAGAGACAGACTGAGGTCAGACTGCAAAACGTTGTTTCTAAATGAGAAGAGAAGCTCCACCTCCTCTCCCTGTACCCTGCACCTTCTTTCTCCATCTTTGGACTAGTGCTTACTTTCTGTGAAAATAAGGTGTGTACAGGGTGAGGCAGGGCTGCCCATTTCCATTTCCTCTTTCCGCCTTCTCCCCACCATCGGTTGTGGTGGACAGGCCAGGGCTCAGGCCCCTTCCCAAGCTCTATGTAATTTCTGCTGGACCCCAGGGTGCCAGGTGGCTACCAGGAGGGCTTTGAGAAGGGGCCTGTCCCAGGCTTGGGGAAGAGAGAATGACTTTACATTTACTTCCTCTTCCTGCCCCAGAGGAATAGGAGGTGGCCCAGGGGCTGGAGGGTGATTTCCGGGCCTCTGTGGGGAGGATGTGATGCTGTGCAGGCTGACAGCCCCTCACTGCACCTCGCTGCCTCTTCATATTTGTCACCAGGGCCTCCCTGAGCTCTTGCAGTTGCTGCAAGCAGTGAGGGCCAGGGTCGGATCAGGCCCTGGCATTCCTGAGCTTCCTCGGGTGGGACATACCACTGTTCCTGGTTCCTCTTTTGGGTACTGAGGATTCCCCCCATCCCCCATGTACACCCTCTGCTGCACCTACCACACCCTCTTCCGTCCTCCCCTATACTCTTCTGTCTGGGAGTGGCTCAGAGCCAAGGCTGGGTAAATGACCTTTGAAGGGGTTCCCTCTGTTTGCTAAGACTTCCTCCCATTTAGAGATCAACAGGGATGGGAGCAAAGGTGGCCTTCTTCTCCCCAAATTCCAGGCTCTGGATTTGAGTCAGCAGAGCTTTGCCTAAGCTGCTTAAGGGAGCTGGGCTTGTATAAGCTGCTTAATGGGGATAGGAGGTGACTGGGGGTGGGGGGAAAGGGTTGAGGAGGAACAGGGAAGGGGTTGTTCAGCTGCCCCAGGTCAGGGAAAGTCCTTGCCTGGCGCACCTTCATGTGGCGCCAGGGGCAGCTGTATGGTGGGGCTGGGCTATCCTCCAGAGGATTGTGTCTCCTGAGGCCAAGCTGTGCCACTCCTCTTAGAGCGAGGTTCCCAAAGGCAGGGCTGTATCTTCCTGATCATGCTGGGGGCGTCCTATGAGATTGGAGACCCATTTGGCTCAGTCACCAAGCCGACTCTGGCAGAGCAGAGGCTGGAATCAAGGCCCTCAACTCCAGAGCAGGAGGGAAAATGTGGGGGAGCTGGTCTTGTCCTCCCCCTTCTTCACTCTGACCCCAGAGGCCACTAGGTGGAAATGTTTGTTCCCCATGAGATCTCAGTGATGGAGCTGTGTCTCCCCAACACTGCGGGGTTCCTCAAGGGCAGGGGTTCTCTTCTCTCTTCTTGACAGGCAGTGACTTTAGGGATCAGAGAAAGTAGTAGCTAGTCTAGGGTCCCACAAAAGCTGAGCTGGCAGCAGCCACCTGTCTCCCCTAGACTACCTGTGCTCCCCGGAGGAGAATATATATAAGATCGACTTCATCAGGTTCAAGATTCGGGACATGGATTCAGGCACTGTCCTCTTTGAAATCAAGAAGCCCCCAGCCTCAGGTGAGTGGCTGGGTGGGCCCTGGACAGAGAAGTGGGCGAGAGCTGTGAAGTGGGCTGCAGAGGAGTCAGAGCAGAGCTGGGACTTGGACCCATCATTCCAGGAGCCATCAGGCAGGGAGCCTCTTCTTTTCCTTCCCATCTGCTCTGGATTGGACATTTTAG